TTTCCGAGTGATCCAATAAAAAATATAGGAGATTTCAGGTAAACACTCAAGAGAAACCAAATCCTGCAAGGTTTGGATGGTGGGTCCAGGTGGGCAGAGTTTGGGGCATGGATGAAGGTGGTGACTGCTTTGTTGTGACATCACAAAGTTACAAAAGTCCTGACAGCTGGTTTTAAGTCTCAGTTTCTGAATACAGACTGTGTGCATTTCTCTGTGGACTGAGTGCTTTGATAGTTTCACAGTATTAATATAGAACCTAGACCTGATCTATAATCACACTACACATGGACAGAGACCTTTACACTGGAGGAACTTTAAACATTACAGCAGGTGAAACGGTGAGCTGAGGTCAAACATGAGCATAGATATAATAGTTAGCAGGTGGACAGTGACACAAAATATTAGTTAACATGTATGACCACACAGATGACAGTATTAATATAGAACATAGACCTGCTTTGTAATCAAACTACACATGGACATCTACCCCTATGCTATATGGGACCTTTAATATCTTAGAATCTTAGAAAATTTCATAACATGGTGCCAAGTTTCTTGCACTAAGTCTGTTTAACACAAAATTATTTATGACTATGCACCACAAACCAACTGAGCTTGGGGACTTGATGGTCTGGGGCCCATGGGCAGTTGCCCACTTTGCCCAGCTGGTAATATGGGCTCGAAAATACATAATACTTTTTCAAACACCTCTTTTGCAAGATATCGTTGGCAGAGTTCGGAGCTACCTGAGCATCCTGCACAAAAAACAAAACAAAACAGTGAGACTGTAAACAGACTAGAGGCTGGTTGTAACACGCAGCAGCTAATACAGCTCTCTATTATCAGTGCATTGCACAACATGCTGTTGAATGCACTGCAGAGTATGACTGACAGGTATGGTCAAAGTGAGAGAAGGCTTTGGGGGGAAAATCATCCTATGTAGGAGTAATGCATAAACACACAACAGGCGTTTGTCGCCCTCACAAAAGCATTCAGCAGAGACAGTGACAGGAAGTGGAGTCCCTGAGGGGAAAAGAGGAGACACAGGTGATGCATTGGGAGGAGGATAATTAACGCAGAGCTTGCACGGAGGCATCACATAAACACCGGGGTCCCAAATGTGATGCCATACATATATAATGATGTTTTTAAATGCACAGGGTATTTCATATGTTATTACACCCAACAGCAAAATGAATCAAAAATTAGATTCACAGTTGACGATTTACATCAGGTACATGTGTACTTACTTTTGTAATCATTGCTTGGTTATATAATAAATAAAAATATAAGAGTCTATGAATCCAACAGGTTGTAATAGCAGCTGCAAAACAACTTTCTTTGTCTGGACTTTGAGAAGCTGTTTCAGCTGTATTACTCACCTCAACACTTCATTGTAGTAAGCTTTGAAAGGAAGTACAAAACATCTCTTTAACAACATGAATTTATCTTTCATGCTGGTTCGTTACCACACTGCCATGGCTTACTGGGACACTTAAATAGAACAGAGCCATTGTTAATTTTATTAAATAACCTGGGCTTTTCATTCTATGTTGCAGCGGTCACACCTCAGAAGGACGTTCGTTCATTCAATCATTACATATTGGTGAGGCCATGAAGCTTACAACTCATAGAGCTAGTGGTATCTATTCCAGTACATATTTTTATTTGTCCAGGTTTGCAGATATCAGTGTCTTAAGATTTCAGTCTCCATCTTGATAAAATAGAGGTGAATGGAATTTGATATTCAAAGACTGGATGAAAAAAATCTAAAACTTTATAAGTATGGCAGGAGGAACTCTTGACAAGTCTCTGTTGAGCTGAAATTAATCGATATATTGTGAATGACTTGGAACATTAACTTTTTTTTTTAATATTTCTGTTTTTACCTTCCAGACATGAACACTTTGTTTTAGACAGCAGAGAAACAACTAAAATGTTTGAAAGATGACTTTAACAAGAGTGTTGCACTGGCATATTATGGAAAATAGTAAAAATGGGAGGTGGATTTTTTTTTTTGTATGGTAACAAATTAACTCTGGTTTAACTTTGTTCAATAACAAAGTGCAACAGCTGTAGAAGATGAAAGTCAGATGAAAGTAACAGCAGGTAGCCCCAACTGGACATTGGGAGGTGTCTCCTGGTATAGTCTACATTGTCTGATTGATCCACAACACAGACAAACAAAAACCCCACTGAAGACAGGTTACCAAGGTAAGAAATGTCTATTTCTTTATTACATTCAACAGTACAGTACACTGAAATTGCACATTTTCACCAGATATAGCAGCATTCTGACTGGCAAATGGACTAATTAATAGGCATATCCAAAACATTTAAATTGAAACACACGTTCAAAAATGTGTCACGGCCACTTTTCGGACCACATTCAAATTCCATTGAAGCCGTTAATTTACATGCCTTGTAAAACAACTTCCACGCAGCTAAAACAAATTGCCCCCCCCCCCGACAACTCATGACTCCAGTGGCAAGAAAAAGACATATGGTCAAGTCAAACCCAGCAGCGCCTGGTTTCTTGAAAAATCAATCTGTGCATACCCTCACACGGTATGTGCCGTTCAGTGCATTTCAGCAGTTATAAAGTGTTTTAATTTACTTTTGTGATTTCCTTCAGTCGACAACTTCACTTAAAAGGCTCCTTTCATTACCCAGAAAGCCATTGTATCACCATCACAAAAGAAGTGTGTACTGTGGGGTTGTGTAGGCGGGAAAAGAGCCATAGCTAGAGTGATAGCATAACAGAAAGAGAACAAGTGTATCCATGGTTGTATTCTCTGGTCTACTGAGTAGGGCTGAGTATCCAATTTAAATACTTTTCATACCAAAATAAATAAATAATTAATACTATAATTATCTCTTTGACTCACTCTATAAAAAGATAGTTCCTGATGTCAATAATAATAATTTCAGACTGTATTGTGTTTACAGATTTGAGAACTTACATTTGAAAAAGTAATTATTGTGGTATTGGTAGCAAGAAGGTATTGTATTGGCACTACCCAGCCCTATTATTGAAGATTAATTGCAGATTACTTATGCTGTTGGTGGAGATGAGCATCTCTAACCCCTTTTACACGGCCTGTTCAAGGCGGGAACACTGTGCCTTTATTCCCCCCTCGTCATTCAGTTGTTGTTCTGCCTTTAAGCCGGCAGCGGAGGTAGTCAAACAGCTGGATCGACGTCTATGTAAAAGGTTCAGAGTCGGTATGGCTGGACAGGATGCTGAAGCTGTTGCATTACATGTCATACCTGCTATCACACAGGTCACACACACGGGTGGCATCATGTCAGACTTGTTTGGGTCGGTATAAACAAGCAAAGCCGACATAATGAGGGGTCTTCTTAACAGCAATACAACAGGATCTCTGTGTAAAAGGGGCTTCTGAGTCTTCCGCAATATATTTTACCCTGTATGGTTGTTTACCAACCAGTAAACCAACTAAAGCAAACACAAATGCGCTTGTTGTTTGGTCTGCTATTTTAGACTGAGGCAAAACAGTCAGCACCGTTGCTTTTGAGTTGGTACGTCTTGACAAACGATGACCTAAGCGACCGAGACTCTTCACAGACTCGAAGGCAACTGGACTTCAAGTGTAGTCTAGTAAAAAGCAGATACTTACCAGCCCAATCAGATATCTAGGAGAAGTGATTCTACATGACTGCATATTATATAAAATGGAACATTTTAGTACAGCTAAACCTCACCGGACCACAATGAGAGAAAAGAAAACTTCGGGTTTCACCGGGTCATCATCACAGCTGATGATGGTAGTGAAGCAGCTTTGATTGGAAACGTCTCCTACACGGTGAGTCCAGTCGCCTTTGACCCGTTAAGATATTTTTCCATGACCTACTGAGAATCTTAACAGGCATCCTGCAGGTTTCTGAACCTCAGTACAAAGTGGTTAAGTCAGACTGACATTAGCACTGCATAAATGCTGTGGGGCTTCCTATGCTGAAAGTTTCATCAAAAACAAAAAATAAATGCAAAAAGGTTGACCATGGCTCAACTTTTGCCGCAATGCAATATCCTCCAATCGAAATATGTACCACACACTGGTAGATTCCCTAACCCTGTCAAGACGATGGAGAGGATGATTGTTGTTGTGTTAACTTTCCAGTGTAGGATCAGGTAATGAACCTCAATACCTTTCAGTGCCGACTATATGAAAAAACCATCTAGTCTGGTCAGACTCGTAATGTTGTTTTCTTATTCTTTGATCAAATTGTACCTTGAGTATGGAGAGAAAACATCCATAATTACATACTCTAACCTTAATGTTTACTTTCGAACATATCCCAAAGCCTGAACAGAGACAGGGGTCACAGTCTCCCCGCCATATACAACCACTTGTTATCACGCGACAGAAGCTCAATTCATAGGTCACGTGATTACACCTGAGCAAAAAATTCCGTTCAGCGAAGATGGCCGTGGGATACACTAAAAGTTCTAGAAAAGGTTAGGAAGCAGACTTTGAGTTTTTCAATATTTGATCCCAGTCGATTAGTTACTGGTTCAGATTTAACATTTACCAACATTTTGGCTTCTTTTGTTATAAATAACGTGTACACTCCTCAAAGGTATCAAAAAAGTACCGTGTCTGGTAGTAGTAGTAGTATTGTAACAGAACTAGCATCGACCAAAACCCAGCCCTAAAACAAAGCTGTAAAATCCTGGTAGTATCTAGTATTAGAAACCACTGTGCAGTGTTTCGGCAACTGATCAGCTTTAAAACTGAGGGATGATCGACTCAAACTGGACTTTCTGGGTTGTATTTCATCTTTAAAGTGGACCCTGCAGCAACACGCCCACATCAACACTGCCCCTTGGCTTTTTTCTTTTTTTTTTGCAGTGCTACTTTCAGTCTGAACACCTGCTAAGGGAAGTATACCACCATACAGCAAAACAGTACGTTATGTAAAGATGGTTTTTTTTTTTTGTAAAACAGTGTTTAAATGTTTGAGGGTGGATTTTTCCTTTAAACCACAGAGCGATGCTCTCCGCACACATACACTGCGCTCGGCTGTATGCGCCTCTTCGTGTTTCCCGGCAGTTGAGGAAGAAACTTGAAGTACTTGGGCATCAGGTCAAGGCAGGCGTCGCGGAACTTCTTGATCCGCCAGTAGTAAATGAGAGGGTTGAGGGCTGACTTGAGGTAGCACAACCACAGGACCCATGTGCTGATTTGAAAAAAGCTGTCTTTATGGTAGAACCCATCGCTAAAGGTAGTGACCAGACTGTACGCAGTGAAAGGTGCCCAGCACACTGTAAACACGGAGAAGAGGATGAGGATGGTGGTGAAGGCACGGGTCTTAAAGCTCATGTCTATGTTCATTTGGAAGGGCCTCTGGAGGCTCAGCAGGCCCAGTTTGCTGGCCTGGCTCAGACAGATGCTGTCTGGGTGGCTGTGGATGCGGATGGCGTTGTGGCGGATGGTGTTCAGGATCCCCATGAACGTGTACAGCATGACCATGAAAGGCATGAAGAAGAAGACTAGCATTAGGATCAATACATAGGCATGGTAGCCGGGCTCAATGCTGTATCCAAATACACACTGAGGGGCCCGTGGAGGGATCTGAAGGGCAGGGGAACCTACAGCCAGGGGGAAAGAGAAAATGAAAGACAGTCCCCATGTGACCACTATAAGCACTTTAGCTCTCTGTGGGCTCAGCTTATCTTGCTTCTGGACAATAATGAGAAAGCGATCTATGCTTATTATAAGCAGTACAGCCACGCCTTCCATCACAAAGAACCAAAAGAGCATGGCTGACACTCGACAGAAAAGGTCTCCGAAAATCCAGTTGGTGGTCACAACAGTAACCAGAGCAAAGGGCATGTTCAGGATGGCCAGCATCATGTCTGCAAACGCCAGGCTTGCCAGGAGGATGTTGATGGCTGAGCGCATGGCAGATCTCTGGTACACCATCAGGCACACTACCACATTTCCCAACAGAGCCACCAGCAGGATGGCAACCATGACGAAGCAGAAGAAGACCTGCAGAGGTAGGCTGACACCCTGCAGGCTCTCCGGGGCCTCCGCTGTCGCTGTGACTGGCTCCGGGGGTGAACGGGAGCCCAGGGAAACGTTCGCCATGGAGATGTTCTCCATTGCCGGCCTCTTGGAAAGGTTCAGCAGCCCCGTAAAGAGGCAGCAGAGACTGGCGTCAATGTCCCTTGCCTCTGGAAGGGAAACCGTATTGGAGTGAACCATTCTTCCCCTGGGTGAGCAGGCATTGTTGTTGGTGAGCTCACTCTGAACATGATGCCGTGGATGCAGGTATTCCCAGCTCAACGCAACACGACGTCTTCATGGCTGCGAGAACCTAAGACATACACAAAAACATAGTGAATGCTGAGGAAATAAAAAAAAAAGAAAAAAGAGTAAGGTATGTGAAGCGGCATTATCACAGCAGATCAAACCAGCATTACTTCCATCAGAATTCCCCGTGGAGTTGTAATGACAGTCAGATGTAACCCACACAAGAGTTATATGCCTGCATCTCCCCGATTAAATCACTCTACCATAATCACTCTCAAACCTGCGCTGTCTGCCAGAATGAGACAAATTATTGGTCCTGACACAAAACTAGAATCAGCGCCTCACAGTCATATGCCTCCGCCAACCAGTCAAGTTACAGTATAAATCCATGTCTGTCAAGACATTGAAGGAATTTAATACTGTATTTGCAGAACATTATGATGTCACAGTGATGTTGACCTTTCACCTTTTGGATATATAAAATGTCATCACTACATCCATTTTAGACATTTGCGTAAAATTTTGAGTTACGACCAAAAACATGTGATGTCGCAGTGACCTTAACCTTTGACCACCAAATTCTCAAGAGTTTATCCTTGAGTCCAAGTGAAAGTTTTTGCCAAATTTCAAGAAATTCCCTCAAGGCGTTCCTGAGATATCACGTTCACAAGAATGGGACGGACCAACGGACGAGCGACCCTAAACAGCTGTTTAGATGCCAGAAGTGTTTTCAGTCTTTTAATATGCATTGTTGCAATGTCCAATTGATTTACATGCAAACTACTGCCCATCATTTAACAGAAGCTAATTACAATTTGTTCAACTTACGACAACAATTTGGTATGTATCAAAGCATTTACAAATTCAATTTCAGTGTTATGATTAAAGATCAAATGAAGCTTGGAACCTGCACACTAAAGTCTTCCCTTCATTTTTGCAGACTTCTCCACAACCCTATATAAGAAGACGTGGACCTGATGACCTGACCAAGTTAGTCCAAAATTCGAAGTAAACTTGAATGCTACACACATTCAAAGACAATTAAGCTGAAGGAATAGTTCAGCCTTTTGGGAAACATGTTGTCACCTTCTTTCTGAGAGTCAGATGAAAATATCATTACCAATCTTGTGTCTTGTGCACTGAAGGCCGATTCATGGTTTCTGTGTGCAGCCTAAAACCTGAGTCTGCGTCGACTGTCCACACTGCAAGCACGCCGACTGCGCATGCACCAGACAAGTAAACCAGATGCTCGTACTGTTTATATCCCATCCACGGTCCTATCCTTTTTAAGCGCTCACTCACACACTTGTCCTTTCTTTTGTTACTTTTTCATGTTGCTAAGCCAAGTACAATAAACAAAGGAGCACTGCTCGCTGTCAGGAGGTTGCCTTCATGTGTGTGCATCTATGTGTCCGTGGACTGTAGTATGAATACAAGCACGTCCGTGTCTGTGGACATGGTTAGCCTAGCTTTGCATAAAGACTGGAAAAAGACAGAAATAACAAGCCTGACTCTCTCCACAGTTCAAACATACACCTACCTTCTCCTATAAAGCCGACTTATAAACACTTCATTATTCATGTCTTTAATCCACACACAAACTGAAAGGTGAAAACCACACAGTTATTTCTATGTGACACAGACATGAGACCGCTATTAATCTTTTCATTTTATCTCAGAAACAAGGGAATATGTGTATTTCCCAAAATGTTGAAGTAGAATACGAACAAAAGTAGAAAAATAAAAACAATCTTTTTGCTTGAATGGTGAAATGAAATCATGTTAAAGTGTTTCTCTTACCCTCCACCAGTACGCAACAGCCAGTGTTCTGGGGACAAGTCAAATAGTGCAATAAAAACCCTTATCACTTATATAAACACGGGACGCTGTTTATTTCAGACTGCCTGGTATCACTGACGATGACTAAGCCAGAAATGTCAAATAATAAACGTGTCGTGGAAAAGTACTTTAAAAAAATTAATTTCCACATAAATGAAGTGGATTCATTAATTCGTGAAAAACACAGGTTGGCCTCTGCTTTGATACCTGGATATGCAGCTATTCAGCAGATAGTGTTATCACATGTCACCAAGACAGTCAAGAGAGAAAAAGCTGTAGTAATGAGATAAACAGGCTGGCAGCAACAAAGCTGCGAAGACTTTGCTTTTATTCATATGCTGATGACAATTGTATTGTCTGCTGCAATTGCCCATTGCTTCATCACAATGAAGACTACAGTGAATGAGAGCGAATAAGAAACGAGGGGTTTAATTTTAGCCCACTTCCTGCTTCATTCACCTCACATACACACACACATGGGGATTTGTGGATCACAATTCTGAGCATACTCTGCAGCAGTCTGCCATAACAGGGACGGCAATACACATCTCTTTCCCTTGCTTCAGGGGCAACATGACCTAAAAAAAAAAAAAAAAAAAAAATTAAAATAGCCACTTAGGCCTCAGAGCAATCAACTAAACCTGCAGTAAAATGGATGATCGGGCACTTGGTGATTGAAAGACTGGGAATTGTTCAAATACTCTGTGTGACAACGCGATTATGCAGCGGAGAATTGTGGAGAGAATGGGCCGAGAGCTTTTCAGCCACATCTTGTAACCTTGAATTGCTAGGAGGAATACTCGGGGGACAAAAAGGGTTCCTGCCTATCGTGTCATTGATGGTGTACATGGAAACATTTTACTAGTTTATGTCAAAAACAACCTGTGAGAGTGTGCCTTGTTTGTTTGATGTGTCTTGTGAGAGAATTACCCACGTCCGTCTCTGTAAATAACAAGATTTCTACGTGTTAAACAATGTAAGATTTGATGGAGATGAATAATTGCATCAAATTCTGTAACGTGGTATCTGTGGAAAGAAATGCATTTGTAAAATGTTACACAGTGACAATTAAATCTTCCATAACAATGTGTTAAGTCTGAGACTACAGTCGCATGGAAGCAGAGATATTGAACAACTGTCTCTAACAATAACTAATTGTGAAACTCCTTTTTTAATATTCTATTAGTTTCGATGCAAAATTCACAGTGGATAAGTGCAACATGACATGGTTGTTTCTCCAGTGAAATGTGTTTGTAGAATACACATCTGTCTGTCTGCCCTGTTTCCTTGTCAGTAAACGAGGCCATTGTTGTTCTCTTTGCTAACACAAAATGGACTTGACTAGCAAGCCGTGGTGAGTAGATAACCATAACCCCAAACCATTAGAGAAGCAACGAGAAGGCCGAATTTGGATTTTAAAAAAAGTGGATAAAGGCAAGGCTGTTTGTGGACTGTTTAAAATGCAAATGCTCTAAAGTGATGTTAGCTTTTCACTCAAGTGAAATCAGCAGCAGTGCCACGAATGAACAGAACATTATATTTCATACATTAACATGGGCTATGTGCGTTTACACGTTAACTTTTCTTTCTTTTTTCAAAGTAATTTTCTTTTTCTTTTAAAGAGGTAGCCTAATTCTTAGTACCACTTAATTGAAAGCACTGAAATATTTTTACTTTTACTCTTGAATTCTGCTGTAAGAATTAAATCCCATGTTAGCAACTACAGTTTTCCCACTTATCGTGACTTTTTACTCCAAAAAAAAAAAAAAAGAGAAAATAAATTTTAGTAGCTTGACTGCATAGTATTTTAAATAACCAACATTCAAATTGTAAAGACTTATTTGTGAACTCTTTGAAAAAACAACAACAAAAACTAAAAACAACTTAAAGATCATGTTTTTGAAATTGTAAAAATTACCTTGTGGACATTTTAAAAGTGGGTGGGAGTTCACACCACACAAACAGATGGTTTTCAAAGTAAAACATATTAATGCTCCAGGGGCATTTAAACATCAACATTAGGTATTCAGTGGAAGGTATCCAGCTGTTTATAAAGGGGTAAATCCTGTCTTTGTTTAAATAACATCACTTCAATGTCTATGTATGTTTTTAATTTGTGTTGCTTAGATTTTTTGAATTAAGTTTGTTATGCGTTGTTATACATAGAAACATGTAAATCAGTGCAGTCTTCTGACTATAAATATTTCCTAATAAGCTGGTGGCCATATGTTAGACACATGATGGTGGTTCTGTTCAGAAGGTAAATCCCATCCCCGCGTCCCTTCAACAGCAAGACTGGTAGATCTGTGAGACCAGCTCTGAGGTGTTGTGAAAATTGACCCAGAGTGTTGTGAAAATCAAAATCAATGCCAAAACAGAATTACACCTCAATCAGACCAGGCCCTCACTTCATCGACCTCCAACTAGGAGCAATTCGGTGGGCAAACCCCAGCAGTTTCGCTGCTCGCCATTATAAATTTGACAGTGTAATTAGCTTGTTGAGGATTCAGTAATTTGAACATCCTCGACCAAAATGGTTGAGACGACAAACTGAGGGTCCATGGAGAGTTTAAGTCTCTGTGGGCGACGGGGGCAGTCGGTGTTAATAACCAGGAGCCCATATTTCATGGTTTAATGTCGGAATTTAGCAAAAAACATTTACGATAAATGATGTTTTAATTGTGTTCCATCTCCACTGATATTACCTGCTTCATTCTCCCATGTTGGAGCTCAGGGGCGGGCGAAGTGTTGAGGCTCAGTCCTCCAAACGCTGCATCTCGCCACTCAAAAATGCTTCCTCCTCCTCGCTGTAGTCAAAACATAAAAACAGTTGTTCTACCGAAGAAGAAGAAGAAGAAGAAGAGGAGGAAGGCCACTGATGCTTTTTTTTTTTTTTTCTTCAAAATGTAGTCCTGTGGCTGTGTGTTTTATCAACAGTGCGACACCCGGTGATGCCGCCGCCACCTACACAAACGAAGCCATAGAAAAAAGTGAAATCCGCATTTGGTTAGTCTCGCTTTGTTTCTCGGAGAGGAGCACGGGAGAGAGGCGGCTCTGATTGTCCACGTTATTTATGGAGTGAGTAAACATGAAGCTCCTGTTTTCCTGCTTTTCTTTTCCCTCCGATTCATTCAGATGTGAGATGTGAGCGACGCAGCCTCCGGCACCAAAATGTATCGGGCTTTCTACTGCAAGTAGCCCAAATTATCACTACACTGTTGCAAACTGCTCTCACTGTCGGCTACCAGCGGCAAGGACGCGACGCTTACACATACCACTTCCTATCTGGACTTTCAAAATAATTGTCCTAAAAAATGTTTTCATGCGGTTCTTTCAGAAAAAAGATAAGACATATTAACCCACACTCAAAAGTAATATATGTAAACTGAATTTCCATATATGAAATATATATACATATAAAATAAAACAAACCTACATTGACATACTGTAGGTATATGTTTAGCTCATACCTACATATATATCCATCCCAAAGCCTGTCAATATGTTGATATTATATATGGTCATAAAATCTGAAACCACTTTCCCAGAATGGCAAGATAGATGTGTTTAACATTAATGTGAAATTAATAAGAAAATATGTATAAGCATATATAATTTTTACATGTGTGTTGTTTCAATAAATTCACATGTATACATTAAATATGTTGTTAACATATATAGAAAAATTACTCAGATATCTTAACATATGTACATATACAAATTTTACCATGGGTTTTTATATATATGGCAACAATACTCTTGACATATGTCATACATTTCTGAATGGGAAAATATAAAATAAATGGCCACCCGTGGGCTTTCTGTCAAGGGTAGACTCAAGATTAATTAATTAATTACTTAATTTGATGAAAGCAGGAGTCTACATGTGGCTAAAACTAAGCTACTCAATAAATATATTAAATATATCGATACTTTTATGAATACTCGGGGGATATGATCACCATGAATGGCCATTGAACTAAGACTGTAATCGTTATTGCTATTTGCAGGAACGTGCATCACGCTTAGGAAAGTTAAAGGAGAATTACATTTAGGTTTTAGATTGTACAATTACGAGAAAGTGATATAATTAAAAATTGAAAAATCCTGTGCACACATTCACCAACATATTATTAAAATATTTTTATGTAGCCTAGCTAATTTTTTTTAAAATTTAATACTCTAAAGTATTTTGATATTTCTGCAGTTTGTTTACGTATAGAAAACAGAAACTTTATTCTGAAAGCAGAACAGCGCAGCTTCCGGCAGCACTCGCACTCTCTCCGGCTATCTTAACACAGGTTTGTATTCAGTGATAACTGACACCCAGAGAAGCCAGTTACACGGGCAAAAGTGGACTTTTCTTCGGGAACGCCCCGTTTTCAGCGTCATCCAATTGACAGACAGGGCGAAGTGGGTAAAGTAGGCGTGGCTTGGCTGGAGGAAGTACTTTTATGGGCACGTGTTTCTGTTGCAGGTGGTAAAGATGACAAATGGGGTGTTATTGCAAAAGTAAGCTCATTGTTGTCATATTGTTTACTGAGGTTTTTAATGTGTGGCAGGGTTATGACAATTATTTTAATACGATTTGAACACAACACTGATAACACTTGTTACAGCGCATAAATACTCACTTGTCAGACTCTTGGCTGACTCAATAACACATGAAATAAGAAGACAAAATACTTTTATTTTCAAAAAGTGTGCGTATATGCAGCAAATTGGTTCAAGTGTCACAAGGTCGGTCGTATTATTCATAAGTGTACATGTTGTTTAAACACATTATTCACAGGCTGCTTCCTGAACCATATAAATAAATAAATACATTTCCCACCTTTCATGTTAACAGCATTAAAACAGAAAGAACAGACCTCCTCTGATATGAGCTGATTTTCTTTCTGTCAGGTGATTGAAAAAAATAAAATAAAATCATTGGTTCTTGTATCCTTGCTTTGTGAAGGTGGAGGTATAATGTATGAGCTGTGAGCTCATTTACAATAAGGTCTAAGGTTTGTTTCACATGAGCCTGAAAACATTTCACATTTGTTCAACATAGATCTCAGTGGTCAACATCTCAGTTGTGATACTGGTTGATATTGTTGTTTTGCTTTTTTTTTTTTTATTTCATTTAATGTGTAAGAGGTATTTTTTTTTCCCAAGACACATAAGAGCAGGCTGATACACATATAATAGCCCAAAGTCTTCTACACAGTAAATTAATAGTTTAAGGGTTTTTTTGCTTTCTTTCCAAGAGTGAGATGAGGTCAATTAATCTTTAGTCTGTGCGTTAAATTTTGCAGAATTACTGGCATTATAAATAAAGAGTAGTACTACCACTATGTGAAAACACTGTTAGCCTGTGATAAAAGTCTTGCGTTCAACATTACACTAAGCTAGGCTTGTAATACCACTGCTCCGCCATTAGGGCACCATCAGGTTCAACTGTAATTACATGTGTGTATTTCATTAAATTGATGTGTTGCTTGTCCTTTTTTATGGCGTATATGACAAGTTTGACCTTATTCCTCACAGGAGTTCACTCCATGAGATCTTCCAAATTAGTCGACATAAATTGCCATGGCGATGTACCCAGGGTTAAATCTGAAGTTACCTCGCTAACCGCAAGATCCAGCTTTGTAGTACAGGCCTCAGGTTTTGCAGGTTTTGGTTTCTGTTTAGGCATCTTGGTACCAAACCTGGCAACCTCACTCCAACACCACGCGTCATAGTGACGCGTACAGATTAAGCTTCACACATCCTCAATCCAGCTCCACACTCAACGCACAAAACACGAGATTAATATCCATCATCATCCATTTTCATGTCACTATGATAGGAGAAGCCTATAAGCGTATATCGCAAAATATTGTCGAATTCCTTTAAAATAAACTATGATTTCTCAACTTTTTCTGGACCTCTCGAATACAGATGCTTAATTTAATATAATTATTTATTCATTTTATTATTTTCAAGTTTTTTTTTTTGTTTTTTTTTACAATTATCAATTAATCAACCTAAGGATTCTCCCATGACTCCATCCACATATAAAGCAAAACATCATTGGCTCCCAACCCCATGCTTGCCTTATCATCTCTCCCAATGCCAATATATTGACGTACATAGATATATGTGGTAATATTTTGTCTCTTATTACCATTCGCCGATAGTCTAGTCCTACGAAGCCTTTATCTGCTTGGTGCTGTCAGTCTTGGGCGGTATGATCTGAACCTGGAAGGGGATGAAGAACTCCACAAGAGCCTTGGTGTCTTTCAAGTCAAGAGAATATTCCTGAGCGATCTTCTCCGGCGTCCAGGCGTCTGGCTGCCGCTGGTGGCTGCTGAGGGCCTTCAGAGCCTCAGCGATGGTCAGTTTGCCTTTGGGAACGTCCGTGAGCTCCACCAGGCCGTACGGGTCCCCCGGTAAACTGAACCTGAGCGGCCGGCGCTCTGCTTCTTTAGCCCCCATCACTTCCTTGGATGCCTGTTGGAAAATGAAGTATGAGGAAATGAGTGGAGAATACTTAAAAACCCCTTTTTGTTCAACACACACTCGACTGTGAAGACTGAATTTCTTTTATACTAAAATACAAACTAATGGCTGGATATCCACGAAATCTCCTAAGCGTAAAGTCGAACATTCACTCATGTTGGTTTGATGGTTTAATTAGTAATCTATAGCCTATTACATTTCAAAAGTAACCTCCTCAACACTGTAAATAACACTGTACACCACTGGTTGCCAAGATTGGGGATCCTGATGCTTAAAGAGCAGAAAACTGTTGCATCATCGTTACACACACTTCAAATCTGTGCTTTTAGTTCCTATGTGTCATCATTATTTGAAACACGTTTTCAAGTAACCATCTGGAGTTTTGCATACAAGTGAATTAGGAAAGCAGTTTGTGGATTTGGGACGTACAGAGCATCTCTCCACGGGGGAAACTTGTCTCGTCTTTATTTGAAATAGTCAGATTCACACAATGTAAAAGCCGTGACTCAGCTTCAGACAGCTGCACCTACAGACTCGACGAGGGTTAGCTACCAGCTCCTGTTACACACTGTTAAGGGAAAGGTCTGAGTAAAGAGACTAGAAATGACTACAGACACTAATATTGTCTCTACAGCCTCATAATTAGATATCCATATAATTCTGAATGAAGCACCATCCATTATCCAAGAAATCAATACACGCAATGTCCCAAATGCAGAATAGAGACATTGCCTGAGGTCTTGCAGGAAGATTCAGCAGTTTTGGCAGATTATAGGGAGTTAAATTAATAAAACCCTATCTATTACTACAGAGTGTGATTCACTATGCATGTTACTTGGGATATCAAATCCCTCAATTACTGATAGGTAATAAAGGAAACTCTACAAGATGCCATTTTCTTGCACATACTGTGCAAGAAAATGAATTCTTCTTTAGTGGATAACAGATAAAGCTCCATCCAAAACACACTGGCATAAAAATCATACATGAATATGTATTTTGGGATTATTTGACATGCATGTTACATTGCAAAGAGAATGTATTTTGCAGAGGATGGGAAGCGACACCTGACTATGGGCTCTCTTTTACTTTTATGTAAGTCCAGAATCTCTCACCTGGTTGTGATTGTGAATGTGTCTGTGTCTTGTTTCATTTTTGTTTCGTCTTTGTTTTTTTCTTCTACTGTTGTGAATGTGTGTGTTGCTTTGATGCAAACACAATCAATAAAACATATTTACAAAACATTAATACAGAGAGTCCCAGTCTGACCTCTGCTGCTGCTACCGGGTCTTTAGACTCCACATACACCGACTTGAGGAGGGTCAGCAGAGGGTCGTTCCTCTGGTTCACTGGATCCACCGCTGTCTCCGCTGCTGAAACACACACACACACACAAACACACACACACAACACACAAACACATACACGCGCTCGTCAACAGGGAAACTGAGGTTTCATTGTAAAGCTTAATTTGCACGTCTGAGTCTTACCGGCGAACCCGGCATGACCCCTGAGAGGAGACAGTTACACAAGTTCGCGGAGGTTTGGGACGCTCACCTTCGGAACCGGCGGCAGAGGGCGGATCGCTGACCGCGTGTCGAGGCGCTGCCCGCGGCTTCTCCTTGGAGATTTCTCGGAACACCCGGTTCTCTAGGTTGAAATTTCTGAACATACGCACGACCCGTGCCCCCATGTTCGACGAGTTACCGAACACCGCTACCAATAAAGATTATTCAAACCGCACAACGGTGAGCGAGAAGGGTCATTTCACAGTGAAAAGGCGAACACGGAAATTAGCAGCGACACCACGTGGTTGGATCCGCGGATGTATTATATGATGATCGAAAATATATAATTACAGAAAAGGCTTTTTGCTGTATTTGTATTTTTTTTGCTTATATTTTGATTTTTAATCATTTTTGAAGTCAAAATTTCGACCTACCAAATAAAGATAGCAAGTCAAAACTTAAATCCCATAATTTTGACATAGTAAATGTCATTTGGATTATTTTATTTTTTTGGAGCTGCTAACAACTGGTAAAAATTAACATGGCAGGTCAAAAGTGTTGTGAAACACTGGTTTAATCTTTATTAATGCACTATATATTTATAAGCTTATAATGTATTTTAATATAAAATCTTAATTTGAAAATCAGATAAATGTGGGGCAGTAGGAAGTACACTTACCCTCCGAAATGTGGTGAAGTAGAGACAAGCAAAGAAAATGAAGACACCTGAGTGAAGTAAAAGTATTTTAAAACTGTACTTGAGTAAATATTCCTACTACTTTTTCACAAATGGTCAATATGTGAGGGGTTTAATGGGCACAAAACAAGAAGTTTGTGTATGAAATACTTTACCAATGATCAAAAATCATTTGTATGTATATATACAGTGTGTGTGTGTGTGTGTGTGTGTGTGTGTGTGTGTGTGTGTATAAGCCAAGCAGTTATAAGGCCAGCAGATGGCAGTATTTCATATTTGAACACATTCAAAGAGGCAAAAAAAAAAAGACTTCACTTTCTTTCTGGGGTTAAGGTTTTATCAGTGCAGGTTTCAAATACAAACAGGGCCTCTGCCTGTTTGTCTCAATAAGGTCTCGTTTCTTCTGGAGACAAACTAAATAAATCAGCTTTCCCTTCCACCCTCAAGTGTTTGGGCCAGGCCGGACAACAGAGGTCACTTTTCATTATAAAGGAAGTCATATGGAGCACATCTGGAAGTGATTATCTGCTCAATCATAACAAAACAACCCACAGCATTTTTGTGAGGAGAGGAATGGAAAGATATTCTTCTCATTTCACTCACTTGGACGAGTACGAGGCGAACTGAGTTGAGCCAGTGATGAAAGTCACAAAGTCAACAGAAGGCCAAAGGTTTTGTTACATCACAGATCTGCACACAGCACAGCTGGACCCCCCCCTCACTCAAACAGTTGGGTGGAGAACAAGAAATCAGTTTGTTTCAAATCAAAATTATTATTATTATTATTATTATTATTATTATAATAAACATTAAAGGGCTAAAGGGCTGTGAAAATTAATCTATTCTGTTGATGATGAAAAAACAGATTGGTTTTTTGCCTGGGAATATTTTTGATTAGTGTTTATATAATGATTTTATTCAGCGTGGATGAAGCAACACTCCACCCACAGCTCGGAGGCACGTTGATGCATGTGGGGCGTTGAGGGTGAAGAGTCCAGCGTCTAGACTGTGTTGATTTGGAGACTTACAACAGATGTGTCTCAGCATTGTCAGTTGGTAAATAAAACTTTCCACTTCAGAAATTCATCACTTGAGAAAATCTGTTTCTCTGCTGCAGATTTTATACATAATATACAACAGATCTTTTTCAACAATGGGGCACTGATTCCTCCAGGAAACTGTTTCAAGTGTTTATCAAAAACAAAGGGGCTTGTTTATATCTAATAAAACAAATGCTTCAAAGCCGGTGTGACTACTGAATGACTGCTGAGCTGTGCTTAGTAACCATTTGGTTTTCTGTAGTTATACTGTGGTGGCCAAGAGAGAAATTAAAAGGATATGGCTGATGATATTTTTGTCTCATTGTCAACTATTCCCATGTGCAGTTCCCCTACTAACAAGTAATGTGTGTGGGTCTTATTCTGCTGTGCCCTCGAGCTCCATTGTCACATTTTCCAGTTCACACATTCACTTAACAGAACACAACAACACAATGAATACACACCTTGGCATGTGTGGGTGGAAATTTTATTCACAAATGGTAAAAAAAAAAGAGAGAGAGAGACCATAAAAATATATCTTGCTTTCACATATATACATTTAAATGTATTTCTATGAACTATGTAGACAGGACAAATCTCAAGTACAGCTGTGGCGACTGCATTATAGTGGCTAACCTTGAGATCTTTGATACAAGGCAGGAACCTCTGAACACTACAAACGACAAACTTCACACAGACTCGGTTCTAAAGCTCCACAGAAGCTTATTACATCAGAGGTGATCTGGTTTCATCTCGGCAAATTCATCAATTCCTATTTGGAATCAGTTGTTTTTCCTGAACACCCGTTAGGTAGATCTTATCGAAGGTGTCAGGGCCAGTGTTAGAGGAAGAAAGTCTGAGATTTCAAGAATTAAATCATAATATCATTGAGAAAAACTCATGATATTATGGGAATAAAGTTGTAATTTCAAGTAAAAAAATAATATTATGAGAAGAAAGTTGTAACTTTTTAATTTACTATCCTTAAGCCCCCTGAGGCAAATTTGTGATTTAGGGCTGTATAAATAAAACTGACTTGACTTGCCTAGAAAAAACTATAATATTACAAGAATAAAAAAAATAAAGAGAGTAAAAGTCACATTTTTATGAGCGTATAAGTCGTAAATTTCAAGAAAGTCATAATGTTACACAAAAAGTCAAAATTAAAACGTCAGAAAATAACAATAAAAAAAGTCATAAAATTCAGAGAATAAAAGTTAAATTGATATAATGAAAATTAAATTTACAATATTAGGAGTATAAAATCATAATTTTGGGGGAAAGAGTCAAAATATTATAAGCAAAAAAGTCATATCAGGAGAACAAGGTAATTCTGTCACATGATTCAACTGGGTTCATTTAATTTCACTGTCCTAGACTGTAAGATAATGAGGTGTTTATAGATGAACCCTGTGACTTCAGGTCGATTGAATCCCTTATTTGACATGTAAATGTTGACGGACGGCATAAGACTAAAACATGAGTAGAACTTAAAGAAGCATCTTATAACATTACGACTTTATCGCTTAAATATTGACTTTTTTTCTTGTGTAATCATGATTTTTGTCAACATACGTGTTGTTTCGTGTTTGTTTAGAACTTAAGTCCTGAAATAATAACACGACTTCATTCTTATAACATTACACATCTTTTGTCAAAATACGAGAGCTGCAGGGAGGACGTGTTTTTGAGGGCAAACCCGGATGTCGGTGCTCTCTGGTTCCCTCGAGAAAGAGTTTGGAAAATAAACGCTGTGACGGACTTTTATTACGATTGAAGCCTAAATACAATCACCGGGAGTAAAAAGCTAACGTTAGGCTATAAAACTAACTACACGTCGGTCACATGACTTCAACGTCACCACCACTAAACTTCAACTTGTAGTTTGATTTAGGTCTGGGGTATTTCATGATGTATTTTATGTAGAATAAAACGTGAAAGTGTTTTGAGCTTGTGTTAACCACGGACATTCAAAAAACCCACAGATTTCAGGACGAGGGAACAGGAAGTGCTAAAATACAACTAACTTCTGGGTTTTAGGACTCATTCCCGTGGAGCTCTATAGCACAATTTCTTTTCTTGAAATCTCAGATTCTTCTTCTACTACTGGTCCTAATATTCTGGTGCTAAGATCTGGCTCAGACTGAGGTGTGGGGTGCATTTAGCTCACCATGGACAACAGGTCATTTGATCTGTAGCTGGAAGACCCCTCACCCGCTCACGATGTTAACACTGCGTGTGAGAGCAGGAGGAGTAGAGGTACAGTAAGATGAAGCAGTCGATCAGAAGGATGGTGTAGAAACACCTCTGCGTGTGCAAGCTTCGACCCCTCTGAAAGCGAGTCAGTAACACGGCCAGCAGCAGAAAGAAGGTGAAGGTGTTCAGGAGGAGGAAGAGCCGTATGTAGGAGGCTGTGCTGGGGAGACCCTCGCTCCCCGCTGTGGCCACCATGTGGACCTCTTTGAATTTGCGGCCCTTGACGAAGCCGCCCTTTCTGTTTTTGCGACTGTCTGTATAATCCATGAAGGCCCGTGAGTCGGCGTCGCCCTCTTCTGGACTGTCCTCGTACGTTCGCTTTGAAGTTTTCTGCCTCTCCTTCTTTTCACTCACTTCAATCTGTGCAAAAATGTCAGGTAGACTCTCAGAAAGCTTGTCCCCAAGGTTCACCTTCTTCCCCCCTTTGCCCTTGCCCTGCTTCTTGGACATAGCAAACATCTTCTCGATGGCCTCCTCCGTCTTCTTTTTGTCAGAGAACTGGAGGAGGCGCTCCGCAGTCTTACGGAAGCTGGCGGTGTTGAGGACCCGTCCGAGGATGTGTCTCTCCATCTGCTGGAAGACGGGCTTGACGTGCTGGAGGTTGTCCTCCATCACGTTGACGTACTCCTCCACTTCCTCCGGCGAGCTGTCCGCCGCAGCTGCAGCCTTCTCGAATACGATCTTCTTGTGGTCCAGCAGCACCATGGAGTACAGAGGCTTGCTGGTGACCTCTCCGGTTAGCAGGTAGATGGTGTAAGTGTGATCCTTGGTGGCCAGGTAAATATCCACGCGCTGGTCGTCGCCGCGCAGGCTGAAGCTCTGGACATCCACCCCTGGTCCAAAGAAAATGTAAGCCACCCTCGTGTGAGGATACCTCAATGGCATTGTGACGTTGACGTAGTTAGAGCCGTTGTACGGGTACCCTCGAGGGTAATTCCAGTATCCTATCACTCCTCTGTTACTGTAGCCAGTGTCATCCATCCAAAACATCTTGTACTTGTCCTCTCCGTGTGATACGAACGCTCCGTGAACGCCATCTACTTTTGTGCCCTGGAACGGCAGCTCCGTGTTGTGAAAGAAGGCGCTCATGGCCCTGGTTGGGCTGTCGGGATCCAGGTGGATGTGGTCCACGAGGAGCAGGAGCTGTGGGTGAAGGAGGAGCAGGTTCCTCTGAAAGTTCCTGATCTTCAGCTCCGGATTATAAGCGGAACGTCCCTCGCCACGGATGAAGACCATTCCCTGTCTCTCCATAGCAGCTTCTACTCTGCCCTGGGTGTCAGCCGCCAGCCCCACTTTGTATTTCAACCACTTCGAGTCGCAGGCCTCTGTGACCTGTCCGGCCCACGGCTTGAAGCAACTCCCTGAGACAGCCGAGCCAAACAACACCGCATTGTTCAACAGGGTGTACTTGGGTCCGTACAGCGCCTCCGTGATGAACGGGACGCCGTTGGGCGCAAAGGTGAAGGTGTTCTGATCCGGGTGCTCGTGGCCGGCGTTAAAGTTCCTCCACCCTTTGATCCACTCTTTGTACTTGTTCCGGTGAACGATGTCGAAGATAGCGCGTCCGCCCAGCTTCCCTGACTTGAAGGACATGAAGGTGTGGTTGGTGTCTGCAGGTAAAGCACTGCCGTACGTGACCACGCCCCAGTCCTCAAAGTAGTGGAGCTGGGATGTTCCAAAGTCTGACGGAGGCTTGGGCATCAGGCTCGGGTCAAACCTGCAGAATACAATGAGAACACCTGCTTCAGATCGATGAAATACTTATATGTGCATTAGATTCAAAAGTACGGAAGCCCTGAAAGACAAGTGAACTTTTTTAAATTTATTTTTTTAATCTCTGTTTATTGTTTTTTTTTAAATGAAGAACATACAAAAGCACACACGACCTTTTTTAAGTGTTTATACAGATTAAAACAAGAAGTTGATTAACAGACTATTTGGGATGAGACAAGAATTTTAATGAGTAATCCATTTATTAAGGAGGTTTTTTTTCTAAGGTTTCTTTATGGTTCCAACATCGTTGTAGATTGAATAATGACTCAGTTTTGAAGTTGGTCAAAGAAAACAACATATGACGACATCACCTTGTGTCAGTACGCTCAATCAAACAACTGATTATAGCAAATATGTGATTGTAAATAATACTAGCATGAAGAAAGCAAGCTCTATAATTATTCAAGATGAAATAAGGTGCAGTTAAGTGGTTTTTTGTTTAATTTACCCATGTTGGGTCCATGTAGTGCTGATGATCCAGGATGACAGACACCAAAACATTACTTGCCCTATTCCTTGTTAAGTTTGCACTTAATGCACCAGAACTAAAAGGCAATGATGCATCAATATTTTTTTGTTGGTCTGGAACAAATGAAACTGCAGGTGGAAAAGCAGCCAAATGAGTAATTAAAAAAATAATGGACAAATCAAAAATGCCTTGATTAAAAGATCAAAACCTTGGAAAGTCCTGGTATTTAAGAAATGTACAAGGCAACAAATACAGACGTGCAAGGTACCAAGAGATAATAATGTTCCCTGGGTGGATTTCCACTTTAATAATAGCTCCACGTAGACAAACTGCAGGAAGATGTTTCCCATTATTAAACTGAATTCAGGAGCTTACCAGATGAACTCTGTGTGGAGAGTACACCATCGCTGGCCCTTCCCAGCCTGCCCTGGCCCTTCTATCACCCTGTTTTGATGAATCAGATCCGCCAGCCAGTTTCCACTGCCATTACGCAACACATAGCGGTCCAAGAAGACCAGCTGGCTTTCCGGCCCATAGAACCAGTTGTAGTTGGAATCTGCGATGGCTACGGTCCGCTGAAAACCTGGTGGAGGCACAAGAGTGGACAACTTGAGTGGTGGCTGCAGAAATCATATTATATCATGAAATAAAATGACAAAAGAAAGTCTAGTACAGGGGGTCTGCAACCGTGTAGCAGCAGTCAGTTTGTACCGAAAACTATTTCTGTGTCAAAAATCGTCATAATTCAGTCAAACCTGAACAGACATGATACACATAATTATTTCCACTGTCCATTTCTAATAATATAGTTTATAAATCAGAGGGAAAACAAGCTCTTCGTAACTCCAGACCTCATCACGTTTTCTTCTGTATCAAAGTAATCCAGTGATAGCTGTCAACAAATAGATAATTCGGCATTCATAATTTTCTAAAATGTAAACAAACATTGGCTCAATGAGTTTAATTTAGTTTTTTAACATTATCCAAAGAGTTGCTGAGACTGGATGTCCCCTAATGCTGTTGTTGTGGTTAATATCTTTGCGTTGTTTAAACTATGGTTCGTACATGCTATGGTGCAATTTATTACAGGATTTGACGAAATGCTACTGCGGGTTAAATACGGATTTATTTCCAATGACCAAGTGGAAAGGAACAGTGTCGCTGACATTCAACACTGACTCGGAGCTACGATGTTAGCTGCACGTTATAGCGTTTACGTCCAGCTATAAACACGCAAAGAGGCAGCGAGAGAACAGCAATCACCCAACTGACACTTCAGCTCCTTTCACTGATCTCACATTTCAAACTCCTTCAGCTGACACACGAATTGACAGACACTTCTTCCAGCACTTGAACCTCCTCTTAACTCAACACTTCCAGCTGTTTCTATCACTTGCACATCAGCTAACACTTTCTTTTAGTGTTTACACCTCATGCTTGGCTTGGTTTCAGCAACTTCGATTTAAACCATCACCTCCATGTGCGTATACGGTGGATTTCAATACGTTAGGATTGTTTCAGTTATTTTAAATGCAATTTTTTTGTCAGAAGTGAGCACACATTATTTTTTAGTGTTAGTTACATTCTGATTACTGTCCGTCAGCTCTACACACACATATCCACGAACACACACACACACACACAGAGTCAGTCAGTGAGGGGACAGCAATCATCCGGGCTGCTAAGGGGCCAGTTGAGGATAATCTGGCCTTGTCTTCCAGTCTGGTGGAGGGAGAAAGCTGCTATTGTGGCTCTGGGTCTGAGGGCTCTCCTGGCTGGTGCAATTAGAGGTGCTGTCTGAGTGCAGCAGTGCCGTTCAGACACAATACAGAAACTGTTGGCGGGGGGCTGTGAAATGTCTGAGCCTGACCTAAGGGGCCCCCTCCTCCGCCGCTGCCCTCCTCCTGACCTTCGGATGAAACTTCCAGGACGCCACTGATCCCCGCAGGCCTCAGCTCAGCTTTGAAAAGGATCCAGGAAGGTAATGACTACACGCATGCATAACCCATATCAGCTGAGAGGAGAAGCTACTCTCCAATGTGGCAGCCTCAGGTCATTTTCATGCCTCATCTAAAACATCCAGCTCTTGGCATAGAACATGTATCCACGCCAGTGCTAGCATTAGCTGGCTAGCTAAGTAACCATTTACTCACGGATTGTTGAGTTTGGCAGCCTAAATATATCTGTTCAGGTGACCCTGAAGGCTCAGCGCACTGCAACTACATGCTCGCAACAAATGTGCTGCAAATACACACAACACTACCAAACACAGAAATGCACCACAAGTGGCACGGATGGCAACGGAAGTGTTTTCCAGGGGACATAAAAAAAAGTGACAAACCAGTCCGGGACACACTCAACGCTCTGTCAATACTTAAAGAAAAATAAGCCGTGTGTGTGTGTGTGTTTGCGTTGTGTGTAAGGATTGGAATCGAGAACCAGATCCAGCTGAGAACCAGGTCAGAGCGAGGTGAGCATGTACACGGGGGCGTCAGTGTTTACAGCTTTGATAAGAGGATGAAGTATGAGGGATGAATCATTTATTTAGCAAAGCCACAGTATAAACAGTATTTTATATTTTATATTTCTAAAAGTAAATGTGGGGCAGCCTGTTTGAATGGGGCCCGATGCGGCCGATTAAATCGATAATAAAGCTGCAGTCATCGCCTGTAGACTTCTGTTAACATTGTATAGCCAAAGCGAAGGCCGGTGTGACTGTGTGACCAAAACCTGTGTAGGCCTCGGAATCGTTAAGGGAATCGATAAAGAATCGGACTGATAAGCAGAATCCATAATGGCATTGGTATCAATACAAATCTCACCCCACATTTGTGTGTATTCGCAGCACATGTGTCGGACCGGACGAAGACGTGTTCTTACTTTATCGTGTATCGCATTCGTACGTCTCTCAGCCTTTTTTTAAAGAGTAAACCAATGGTGATGTGGCAGTTACCGGGCAGGATGGTCCTGTAGAGGAAGGCAAAGTGTTTCAGGAGCCAGGGGTGGTCGAAGTGGCTGATGGCAAAGTGGCGCTGCACCAGGAACATGTACTGGAACAGAGAGCGGGTGGTGTAAGTCCCGTAGGCCACGCCTTCGTACAGGGAGCCGTCCGTCACGTCCCGCAGGAGGACCATGGACTTCTCCATGATGGACAGCGCCTGCTTGGTCCACAGGTAGGCCTCCTGAAGGTAACCTGGAACACAGGAATCAGAGATGGAGTCACAGGTTAAACAGAGTTAGAGTTAGTGTTGTGTTTTACATTTTCGACTGTAAGTAGCGATGCAACCGACATCCAGTCCGACTATGACCAGTGCTCACTGGCTACACAAGTTTGCACACCTGGTATGTTTCCAACTGAGCCGCCACAAATGCACTGATGCTTAGGCTCGGCAGGGGGGTAAATTTCTCTTGAAATACACTGAAGGAAACCCTGTGTCAGCATTAAGTCAGGCTACTGTCGCATGGTGCTGCAGTGCAGATTCAATCTCACTTACAACTGCATTAAAACAACTCAAGAGTCAGGTCTTGGCAAGTTGATTTTACACAGGCCGCCTGGAAGGTGAAAAACAACCTGGCTTTTCCTGAAGGAAGTGCAGTGTGATTACTGCCAGTAGCTTCTGCTCGAAGCGCTGATGTCGACCTCAAGATACAGAACGTATTGGCAAAGTGTGAACAGATAAACACGTTCAAAGGGCAAAATACTATAGAAATTGCTATACAGTCAACTGCAAGTGCATTATCCAAATCACAGCAACAACAATTATTTTGTTAAAGTTAAAATGTGTCACAACAGACCATAAATAAACATTGTGGTGCTACAGAGACAAATCCTTGTAAGAATTTGTCAAATCTTCGCACATACATTGTTCCAGACAGACTTTTAGTAACCTTGTCATATTAATGCTGGAATCTGATTGGATGACAGAAGGCGTTTAAATCTTTACAGGGTTCATTCAGGTAATGTGCGAGGATGAAATGTCAAATATTTCAAACACGTCAGAGCATCAGATTTGGTGGAAACTGCGTCTTCAAGAGTGATGTGAGTGAGTATGGAAGTTAAATCAGTCCAGCTCCGAACAATGAGGGTGATCTGTGCACCAAAGCAGCGCGGTGAGGACGAGAAGAGGTGATAAGACAAATCAGAGAAAGAATTATGATTATCGATGATGTAGTTAAGTTCAAATGGACATGACCTGCAGCAATAGATAAGGCAATATCTAAGAGAAAAACAATCTTGCCTCTGCGAGTTATGATTCAAGAGTGTGAAGGTGAGGTTAGCTGCTAGCCACATAGTGGTGCTAGTTATCTCTCATTTGAGTCAGAGGAGCAGAAAATCAGTAGGAACACATTTCCCAAATATAACTCCTGTGGTATGTACAATCACTGAGATACTGTTAGATTTTTATGCATTTTATGCTAATCCCCGTTGAAAAGCTGCTGACAAGAATTATACAGCACATATGGCCAGGAATAGATTTCTGCAGCTTTGCACAAACAAAGAAAGAGCAGTAATCCCCTTTGACGCTGGGGCCTTGAAAATGCTTAGATTATAGAAGAGAATACGGTATGTTCTCAGCAGGATGTGAAGTGAGAGGGGCCGTGCATTACAAAGCGAGCAGGGGCCTCGTGTTATGAGTATATGAGTGTGAGTGTGTTATGTCACTAATGGAATTAATGAACACCAGCATTACAGCAAACAAACGTCCTCTCAGTCTGTTACCTAAAGAAACCTTCCACACGCAGCATCGCTATGGAAAGCATGACACCACTATGGCACACTACACCATGTATACTCTCTCTCTCTCTCTCTCACACACACACACACACACACACACACACACCGGATCACACACATAGAGTTTACTATGAGAACAAGCGACCACATAAACACTCCAGCCACAGCTCTTTGAGGAATCCCGGGGGCCATCGGCAGTAACCGGTTGGGTGGGTGCAGGCCCGGGGTCCGCCCACCGGAGCCGTCCCCAACAGTGTTTGGTTTGAGCTTGGGGACCCGCTGGAACTACACAGAGCAGGTATTTACCATCAAACAGAAACTCCTGGCACGCACAAAGACCACATTTACACAAACAGAGCTTCACCGGCACTCGCACAGTCCAGGGGCCACACTTCCAGAGCAGCGTAGGCTTCGAGAGGCTTCAGACACTTTCCTCAGAAAGTAAAAATATAATATGAACAAGTCCAAGTTTCATGACAGTTGCACTGGTTTGTTGCATAAACCATGGCTTCTTGTTGCTCGACTAACGTAAACAATTCACTAATTTACAACTGAATATTTTTGGCAAGTTGAAGACACAACATTTGTCATATTGTTGTAAAAATACATTTTCACCTTCTGACTCTCAGTTACTCCATTGTACCCAGCTCTGCTTCACCGTGCCTTAAGAAAAACACCTTCCTTTTTAGCTAGCTCTTTTAAGCTAGCTAATGTCTAACTGTGTCTGACTGCTGTTTGGAGCTGGGCAGGAAGTGTATTGTGAGTTTATCATCTTTTTCACTGAGAATCTTTCAGCAATAGCAACTATTAACCACGTTAGTCTAAAATCTTTCCAGAAGAGGAAGAAAAGAACAGTTTCAGAGTTAACAGAAAACAGGAAAGAAACGGAGCAGTCAGCATGAGCGATGATAGAAACTATAACAGAACAAAGAAGGTAGGCATCGCGTAATGAATCTCAAATGTCATTAACAGAAAATGGCACAGAGCTGAAGGGCACACACAACAGAAAAGAGAAACTGTCACATAAACCCACATTAAAAGGAAAACACATACCAGAGCAACTACATCCTGCCAGGCATGTACAGCACAGTCACAGATGTATTAGAGGAACTGGACAGTGTTGTGCATGAACATTAAGGGTGTGCATGTTTTTTGTTGAAATTATCCATTCGAAAACTAATGAACATGAATGTGAAAATAAGAGTAACAGTGAAGGTATACTGTAGATGCAATGGTAAATTTACATTGTGAAAAACTGGGAAGATTTTACGAATATAAAACCTTCATGGATTAAAAATTCATAATAGAAAGTTGCAGTTTGAGTCTCTTTCATTTCTTTTATAACTATGGTCTATGGAGAAATGCTTTTTGGGGCTGCTGGAGATTTTATTTTATTTTATTTTTTTACTCCGAGTGGCCACTGGGACAAAGTGGTGGTGCTGTATCCAGGACAGTACAGTAACTCTGGTTTCACCTATAATTTCCTGTTTTCCTAGAGTCTAATAACGCGGCGAATTCCTCTACAGTAGGTTTTTTTTTTTAGGTCTGACTGGCTCCCATGCTGTTGCCTGGTGCCGGTTCAGGACTCCCAGATCTCTCCTTCAGCGCACACATCACACCTTCAAGCACTTCGAGCGATTGGGAACAGGGACTGTCAGTTCACTCTGCAGAGCTGCCCAGAGTTTTGTTAAAGGTGAGAGGATTTATTTTCCAATAACGCTCTTTAACTCGACCTGTACTCCTTCACTTTGTCACACCAGTGTTGCTGGAGGGAAACTGCAGGGATCTTGTGAACATTTGAACCAGAGGGGGGGGGGGAGCGAGAGGGGGGGGGTCTGGCCAATATCATTTTCTAATCTAGTTTAAATTAGGGGTGGGACAGAGTAAGCACTGAAATATGTTTCCCACATGCTGACAGCTCGGTTGTGAGGGTTTTTACATTCATGTGCTTTGCTATAGTTTTGGCCTCTTCATCGCAAGAATCCACCAAAGTCACACGAACCTGTTCACACTGTCTTAATACTTTTTGACTTTCCAGCAGATCGTTTAACCTCCGCCACTCTTGCCACGTGTGACGGTTACGGGACTGACTCAGCAGGATCTAGCTAAAGTTTGCTAACATTAGCCACCATGAGCTACTGGTCACACCAGACCAAATGAATACAATCATAGGAAAAATGTTTCCTTTTACTACAGATATAAAACTCATCAGAAACAGCTGAAGAAAGAACTGGATGACGCAACAGTAGTACATTGCATTACAAGTCATTTTTTGGCTATTACATTTTCTGGAGCAACATTTCAGTTTCACAACAGGGATTAGTAACGTTTTATCGTAAGTCACTGACTCTAGAATGACTAACTCGGAAGCATCAGTGACTCCACATTTACTGTAAGGCCCGTGACACACCGCTCTTCCACCCATGTTAACAGGTTAGAGCAGCCCGTGGCTCCAGCCTCGCTGCAGCGGCGCGTCATACGAGGAGTTTTGGCGTGGAACCTATTTTTCATGTGTGAGGTGCAAGAATAGACAGGAAAAAGATCTGTAGATAGTTATACTGACATCATACCAGCAAGATTACATAACTCAAACATTTCGAATTAGTTTCAATGTCTAGGCTGAATCTAAGTGTTTCACAAGTAGGAGCCTCTACTTTGTTGAATTTTGATATTATTACTCTTCAATTTAATTTGGCTTGGGCCAAATCCAAAATCTAATATCTCAATACAGTCCAGATCACATTTCTGTTTTGTTTTTTTAATGATATATAATTATATTATTGTATTTTAGGTGTTTTCTTTTAATAATATATAGTTATATCATATGTATGTACTGAAGCTGCCACTGAACAGCAGTTCAAAGTTATATTATTAAAAATACTGCATATTGCACGCATTATCAAATATCAGATATTGGATTAATGAACATCAGCACAATCCTATGTAACACGACATTACAGTGTCTTTTCTAAACTTTACAAATTTCCTACCAGGAAGCCAAAGCAGTTTCATCACAAACACCTAAGCCCACGTGTGCTCTGATAGTAACTTATGAATTGCTCTGGCAGACTTTACAGTGTGGGTGGTCAGGGCGAAGGATGTGACACACCGGCCAGCTGGGGGTTCACTACAGATGAACTGTATTTAAACTGTGCACCGCTCTGGCGCTTGAAGGCACCAACAAGCAAACACCTGCATCTGGAATGCATGTCTCCTCTAAGCTGCTGCTGCCTCCTTATCTGGTTATCTAAACAACACGAGTCTGTCGGAGCTTTAGAAGAACCCAAACCACATGACAGCACAAACATTTTTCATTTCCGTGAACATGTGATTTTAAGGCACAAAACAATTAAAAAATAATAACTTTGTCCAACATGTCAGCAGTGGGCTGAAGTCTTGTGACAGATGACTAATAAAGAGGAAAAAGAAACCAGAGTTTCTTCATTTCTGGCAGTTCTTTCTGGAAAATTTCCATTTATTCTGACAGAATAATATTTTGGGCGTGATGCCATCCCTCTGCACAGGAAATGAACGATAGTCACACAAAGAGGTGAAGAAGTGACGCCTGAATGAAGCTGCTAAATCAAGCGGCTGAAATAAGATGAGCATTGTAAATGCATCATGTGTTAGCGATCTAACAAGAAGCAGTTTTCTCACCCCTGCCAGGTATGAAACTATCATCTCTGCACGAGGCCTCCGGTAAAGCACACAAACAAATAAAATCTGTCGTAAACAAACCACTAAAGCTGCAGCTAAACAGACCCCCCCCACCCCCACCCTGTAACAAAGACAGGCCGAACTGGAGCGAACTCACTTTTTCCTGAAGCAAAAAGAGGTCAGGCTGTAACTCTCCTGAGTGTTCACAGAGCTTTCAGCCTGTTGCTGCCCTCTTCAAAAAAAAAAAAAAATCCTTGAATAAAACCACTGTGACCACGGCGGTTCTCAGTAAGACAGCTGTCGTTTGGTTCACATCAGGACTGGATCTTTTGTACCAGAAATCAAATCCCTGTAAGCAAAACAAGCTGCACTGCAGGACTTCACCTTTTGATGGCCCATCTCTGCTGCTGCACACAGTATTTAGTGCAGGATATTGAGGCAAAAGAAGAAGAAGAAGGAGAAGAAAAAAGGAGCAGGGAATCAGATCCCACAGAGGAAATGCTGGAGAGAAAAAAGAAAACAAATCTTAAAGGAGAATGTGACAGTTGTGGAAAACCTCATCTGGAGTACAATTACAAAGGATTAAGAGCAGCGATAGCAGATATAACCTCAGGCAGTTTCTCTCATAAGTAAACTGAAGACTGGCAAGTCTCACCCCTGACAATAATTATTTAAAGCTCCATATTTTCTTCTTCTCCTGTGTTTTATCTGAAGTGTTGATCCATAAGAAGATATATTTGTGGTTTTAAGAACCAAAAACCATCTCAATGTAGTTTTACATCTCCTCTCTCAGGCTTCTCGCTGGAGCTCTAGTAACAACAGGTCGGTGAGCCAATCAGAAGAGAGGAGGCTCTGAGTCTCTCCTCTGATTGGCTGACTGTTTTCTGAGTGATCCAATAAAAATAAAGCAGATTTCAGGTAAAACACTCAGAGAAACCAAATCCTGCAAGGCTGGTCCAGGTGGGCGGGGCTAAGGGAAGTGACTGCTTTGTTGTGACATCACAAAGTTCCAGAAGTCCTGACGGCTGGTTTTAAGGCTCAGTTTCTGAATACAGGCTGTGTGCATTTCTCTGTGGACTGAGGCTTTGATACTTTCACAGTATTAATATAGAAGCTAGACCTGATCTATAATCAAACTACACATGGACAGAGACCTTTACACTACATGGGAACTTTAAAAAAAAAAAAAACTTATAAAATTTTAGTGGGATTAAAAAACTGAACTGAACTAATTGGTGCTGAAAGTCTGACAGGGTAAACATGATTTCCAATCCCTTTCTGATCCCTATCTTCTAAGGAGAAAATCCTTTTATATCATTGGATGACACACACAGCAAATACTGGACTAACCCTAACATGGAACTACTGAAGATCCTGAGTCAGAAATATTAAAATCACAAGCTTAAATTACTGATGTAATATAAATAAAACTGAATGAACAGGGAGGACAGGGAGAATTTGGCTCCTGAAACTGACGTGACCATGATGAGTGAGAGAGAGGAGGTATCACTCTGTTGTTGGGACAGAAACAGATGTTTTACAAATATTTCTATACTCACTCCAAATGTGAAACAAACATGCTTCAAGGGTTGAAATTTGTATTTTATCTAAATAATGACGTCAAACTTGGCAGAACTGACACTAACTCTCTAACTAGCATTTTGATTCAAACTGAAATCCATTTAAATCCACCTGTAATTTCACATTTATCTTATGTACACTGTTGTTTCAACTGTGGGCCTTAATTGTCCATTATCTTAATTATCAAAATTATCCTTAATACCAAGGACCCTGACGCTGCAATAAACCATGTAATAAGTAAACTCCTTTCTTCCAAGTGAGCAAAATAAAAATCAAGTTAAACAGTCAAATTAAACGGTTAAGAAGTGAGCAGTTCTGGCAACTCTCTAAAAGGGAAAGTGGCAAAACATGGTCCATAAAGTTGCTACATCTGTCATAAAACCCCTTTAAAAGGCTGCTAAAGGAGCCTGCTGGAGAAATCTGGTGAGAGACAATTGTGAAAGAGTGAATGTAAAACGAAGCTACACATTTTACTGTAAGCTAATGTCCTGAGCCAACTTTGATATCTTAAATTTAACATTATGTATATATGTGTAGGTATATGATACATGTATATACATATAAATGTGATGTTTAAATAATAATAAAAATACATAAAATAAAATCCAACATTCATGTGCCTCAGCATTGTGTAAATCCTCTGAGTCGGCCTTCAGACCACGATATTAAACCCCTCCAGTGAAACCCACTCTAATGAAATAGCTGTAGTTGAGCTGCATTTTCAGTTTCTTTACAGGTTTTAAATTTACCTGTAACTGTTTGAGGAGAAATATATTCCCACTCAAAGCGTATCAGAGTGGAAATTGTGGAAATTTCGGCTCATGGTTGGTCACTGAAAACACTGGAGATCATCCTCTGAGGAGCATGATCATCTGAACCACATTTCCTTGAACCCTGCAGCCAGGGCAAAAACAAAACCACATAACAAAGACATGAATCACCAACCTTGGGTCATGTAAACGAGGCTTCCCGTGAGCAGCGCCACGCAGTTGGTGGGCTGGTGGTTGTGCAGGTACTGGAACCCCCAGCCTCGGACGTAGGACTTCTCGTACATCAGGCGCGACGCGTTGCCGATCACCTGGAGGAAACGCTCCTGCTGGCCCTTGCTCAAGTACTCGTACAGGAAGTCGTAAGCGGTGGCAAACCCGACCAAAGAGTGCGCCAAAGGAACCTCATCCCAGGGGGCGTCTTTGACCAGCCTGCAACACAGACGACAACACGAGACTGAAGGCGAGGCAGAAACGTGTGGAGCTTAAAAACAAAACATGCAACGGTAAGCAGGTGTGAAATTTTCACTCTTTAAATGAGACCTAAATGCTGCGTCATGAACAAAAAAGCTTTCCTGTGCAAAGCCTTTTAATAAGCCTAAACACAGCCGTAAAACGTCTATTCACTGTCAAAGCAAAAAATAAAGTCGCTAAGTAGCATTTTACACCACAGATACAGCTGCACCAATAAAGAGACGTAGAAAGTGAAGCATGTTGCAAATTCTCTCCTGGTGAACAGGCACTGGGCTTTAAGAACGCTGACTTCTGTAAAGTGCTCGTGTCGTAAAAAGGTGAGCGGTACTCTCCAACCATTCTGGCTGCTTTAATTAAAGAGAAATTAACTTCAGATGTGGTGATTTACTGAGGCTTTCTTTCAAATTAGTTTATGAAAAAAAATTGTATTGTTATATTGCTATTGTTTGTTACTCTCACTATCAAGTTTCAACAAGTGGCTAATGTTGTTTATATGTTACAACGGAGCTAGCGAGTGCAAGTTAGCATGACCCACAGAGTCACAAAGGCCTTATTTATATACTGTAATTGCCCTTCAACTTTCTATATATTATAACCATGCTGTATAATCTATATCGTAGGTTAAGTTAGTATTTGCTACAAGCTGTACTTGATATTAGAAGTTGAAATCTTCATGACATTGACAAATTTAAGCAATGATTAATTCGTTAGCATTCAAAAAAAAAACAACAGCTGAAAATTAAAAGGGAAATTACAGTATTTTTACACCATTGAGATATTTTTCATACAATCAAAAATTCATAATTTCACTACTTCCCTTCGCCCCTTTTTACACAAAAATTAGCAGGTATACGCAGGTTTTTTAAATGTGGGTAGAGTGAGTTTCTAGCCGTCGTGCAAACTGGTAAAACGGATCTGTAATGTCTTATCCCCGGGTTGGTGCTCCGGTAAGTGTCCGAGCCTCAGTGTGAGACACTTCGATCGGTGAATGTGTGTTTTTGAAACTTATTGCGGAGCTGCAGCTTCACTCTTTCATCCCAGAGCGCAGTGTAGCCGCGGTGTCTCTGGCTTAACAGGTGACAGGTGTGTGTTTAAGCTCTGAGAAATGTTACAACAGGAGAAGATGCCAAAATTAACATGTTCACAGCCACTACCCCACACCCAACAATAATATTGTAAATTGTGATATTTGGGCTGGGACTGAATCGAGATACATTTTGGATATCACCCAAACCTACACAACATATATCAGAGCAAGCTGTGGGACACTCCTACAGCTTTCTAATGCTTGTCACTGAGTCTGACCATAAGTAAACACAGAGAGTAGCATCCTGGAACAGCCATTAGGGCTAATTTGCCAGCTGACCTCACCATCCTGCCATTTTCATCAGCGCATGCCAGTTTGTTTCCATGTATGAGGCTGACTTTGGTTACAGTGTCCTCTAAGAAAACTCATAACACACTTTTGTAATGTCATCTTTCCAACTGTTTAGCTGAAATCTCTGCTGCCTAGAAAAACAAAAAAACAGTTTAGTCAGTTTCTTCAGCTGGTGACTTAAAACCCATTATGGTCGGATTTCTAAGAGAAAATTTAATTTGTTCACACAAATTAATAAATGTAACAATATTCAACATATGTTTCCTGTATATTAAAAGGGATACAAGTGACAACACAACATTGTTTAATAGGTATTATTTAATCAACTGATCTGTGTAGATAAGTAGAAGAAAAGTGATATTAAACAGATAAATATCTGACTTAGCTGGTGATAATTGAGAGAAAATAGTTTACCTTTTTATAATTTTAGAGCATCTGTTTTGGTGCTTCTATTAATCCCTCTCTCTGTGAGGTCTAGTTCTGCTTGTACAAGTGGCAGTGTTTTCATAAAGTGCATACTTCTGAATGCACCACCAAACTTCTGCTTTCAATCAGCTGAATTGGACTGTACCAATTGGGAATGGGGGGGGCCTGACCTGATTGAGATTTGGTTCGATTTAGTTTCCTTACTATTTAGTTTACAGTAATTGTTGCTTTTGTTGTATTAGTGACATTTATATAATTGATTATATTGTTTAAAATAGTTATTTGTAAGTTTTGCTATAAATAACGTTAGCATTAACAGCTGTTTACTTATCAGTCTAGAAGCAACATTGTGAGTTCAGCATCAAGCTTCATTCCTTTACTCACCAAGAGGCTGTCTCCACAGGAGACTTCTATTTCTATCACTTCTTTTCTTCTAGTGAAGTTAGCATGCTAACCAGCTAGCCCGGCCCTTTAACATTATAGATGGATATATTGTTGATGTTGTACCATCCATGCTACTGCTTCCATCAAGTATGCTTGCCATCTGTAAGTTGTGTGCCTTGATTCCACTAACAAGATTTTTATTTAACTAAAAATCTTCTGTAAAAAAAATAACAGAGCTCTGAAAATGTGTGCGTTATTATGTCGTGATTTTGAATGAGGTTTCTTCTGGAGCGGACCCCTTTAGTTCAGCTCTCTATAGACCCTGACTCCTGAGCAACTCCCTGAAACTTCCATCTGCTCCATTAATTTACAAGTAATTAAACACATGATAGACTATGTCAGTGATATTTGGGCAGGTTCCTCCATTTGATGTTGGTAATACAGTTTCCCCTTGTTAAGTGGCAGCTGACGTTTATTTGAAAATCGCTTCCTGCATAGTCACGCCAAGGGATTAAACTTCTTTATGCTGCAGTTTGCTCATATGGCAAAAAGGAAAACTGTAATAAAATTACTGCCAAGTCACTGCTTGACTGTATATCGCATTATTCCAAAGCACACAAAGTCTCACTTCAGTGTGTTTGCAGACTGTAAAAAAAAAAAAAAAAGAAATGGGGGGGAAAACGAAGCAGGCACCAGTATGCCACAAAGTAGAAGTTCCCCATCGGAACATGGTTCGTGGAGCTGCTGCAGACATAATTGAAGGTCATGAATACCACAGCTGACTGATTCCTGGAGCCACTCTGCAGAAGCCCTCAGAGGTTCAGTGACCATAATAAAAGTGCGGCCAAGGAGAAAACTCAGTGTGTTGTTAAGACGTGAAAACACATGCTCAGTGGCTTCTCGTTTCTGCACTGTGGCACACATAATGATATTGTGAAAAATGTATAACACGGCACCATCTAAACCCCCACCACCACCACCCCCAAACCCAACCCCAAGAAATAAGCCACTGGAAAATCCCCTTCTTTCTGTTCAATGGCCGAAGGGAACGCAGCAGCCATGCAGCAAAATGAGAAGGATTAAGCTGCTAGACTCCCCTCCCTCTCTGCATGAAGGAGGAGGGAGGAGGTACCTGTAAGAGAGGGGATTGTCCCACATTTCAGCCAAAAAACAGAGTTAACTTGGTACCTGATATTGTAATATTTAACACGTTCATCCATCCTTCTGCCGCTGTTACAGGCTAACACAGAACATGAGTTACCAGGTGATCGGGGAAAGGTGTTAATACTGTGAGCAACACAACAGGTTAGTCTATCCAGACCACTGGGAACGAGCGCTTCTGTGTAGTGGTCTGGTGATGCTTCCTCTACTACTGGATCGATCTGATAACGAAATGAAAAACAACAAACGCAGAGCTGATTGACTCTTACAAAAACTTCTATAGAATCAACAAAAAAATCTTGTAACCAGGATTTATGGAGAAAAAAAAGTAAAAGTATATTTTTTGAGTATCTTCACTTTACTGAAGTATTATCTTTATTGTGACTTTTACTTCACTACACTTAAAAGGCAAATATTGGACTTTTGACTCCACCACATTTCTATGAAGCACTCTTACTTTGAAGCAGAGCTTTAAGTCCGTGGAAAGAATTTTATTTTATTTTGAAAATGTAAGCATGTTCATCACAGGAGAAAAAGATTCTTTATCAGAGCACCGTTCATTAAATGGCCTTATCTGAAGTCCATGTTCAAAAGTTTAGAAATAAATAAATAAAAATTCCTTTCGTTTTAAATGTTTGCTTTGTTTACTACGACCAAAGAAATATGAAAACAATTGCTCCTTTATGTTGATTTAATTGTGTTTTTATGACCATCTCTACACCTTTGTATCGTACTCTTTTTATTCTATAGGTTCTACAGTCAGTAGGTAGTTTCAAACTCAACTCAAGTAAGAAATTTGACTGAACAACTATAATTTAAGCTTATAAACTTAGTATTTGTGACTCAGGACCTTCAGTATTTGGATCAAGTAGTTTGTGAAAGTTCTGCCGAATAAATTTTTATTGCTGTTAATCCACATATTTAGGTAAAGTTTATTTAAATTAAATTAAATTAAATTTGTGCATCACTGCACAGTAAATGATTTTTGTACATATTTTGAAAATCAAATCAGAGTATTACTGAGGAGAAGTCAGTACACTGTAGAGAGCTGATTCTGTGAATGTATGTAAATGAACAGTAGGTTACCATGGATCCCAACGCCGTATGCAACCGTTCTCCCAGCATCATTTCTGAGACCTTCACTCCTTTAGTCCTTTCAATAAAAGCTGTGCAGAACTTGGAAGCAGTGAATGGCTGTAATCCACTTCTCAGCCATTTTGCACTTGCCAGCCAGAACTAATGTTCATTGAACTTAATCAAATTGTTAGGGAAATACGGAAGCGCTGTTGACGGCCGACGCTAGCATGAGGTTCAGGTCCGTGGCCGACTCTGAAAAGCAGAAGGCTTGTCGAGACACGGGCTGAAAGGATGGAGTCGGCTGACTTGTTGATTGCACTTCACACGGTGTCAAGTATTATTAAAAGTCCCACATAGTATAAAGGTAGATTATAAAGCAGGTCTAGGTTCTATATTAATACTGTGAAAGTGTGAAAGAGGTTTTTGTTGAAATCTTCTATAATTTTAATCAATCACAGTCACTCACACTCACCGACCTGTTGTTACTAGAGCTCCGGAGAGAAACCTGAGAGACGGAAAACTACACTGAGATGGTTTTTGGTTCTTAAAAACACAAATATATCTACTTATGGATCAACACTTCTTTTTTTGCTAAAGGTTCCTACATATTTTTCTTTAAATATATGTGAATAAAAAGCTGCAGTTGTAATACTTCAGTGGGATAGATGGGACCTTTAATTGTGAGCTACACTGAGAAAAAACCCAGGGAGCACCTACCACCCCAGACCCAAAATTAGCCGCCAAAATCCTGGGTTTTATATTAATCCATTAGTTATAGACAGACAGGTGAGAAATTAAAAGAAAAAAAACTGAAAAAGAAACAGGATAACAAAGCTCCCGTCTACAGGACACGAGGGGTCACTGAATGGTTTGATACTGTGGGGATGAAAATGATACGAATCATATGCTGTGACCTTCATGATGGGAGATTTTGGAGCGACATGTCAGCGCTCTCCACCACCATCATTGTGGAATCAATGCATTGCGCACCATGCGAGCCGTTTTAACTACTACTCTACTCAAGAAACGAGCCCTGTTGACAGCAAGGTCAAGCAAATCACAGAGGTGCCTAATCCAGAATTAGATCTATATTATTATATAATATAAATATATATTATGTAAAGTTTTACAGAAGTTCTTAACATATTTAGTGAGCTGTATTCAAAGGGGTTTTAGCTCACTGTCTGTTCCTGAGAGTCGATGTTGACATCAGCTTGTTGTGGTTTCATTCGGACGAGTTCACAAATGTTGCTGCATGTTGATGTCTTTAAAAACATCAGAGACCCGCTCATGAAAATTACCTTCATCTGCTCTTATTTGCTGTGACGCTCAAACGCAGCAGAAACAGAATCACGGTTAAAAACAGGACTTCAAGACTCGCAACACATTTTCTCGTCGGCCGTTTTGCAGCTGTGTTCAACCGCTGGAACCTCAGGCCTGACATGTGCTTCACCATGTCAAAAACACAAAACTGACGAGTTCCATATTAAAGCATCTTACGTCCACACTTGCTAACACTGACTGATTCAGTCTTGTATGTTGAAATGAGGACATATTTTGCCAAAACCCCCGGGCCCTCAGAGGTCCCCCCAAAGAGGCAGTTGGTTTGTGGAAATATGTACAACTAAAGTACAGTATTAACGGATATGATAAGCGCTTGAGGGCAGATCCTGCTTTATTAACTCAACATGTCCAAATCTAATTTAATCTAGAATTTCATATTTTAGATTATGTCGTGTTTACTCGGTGTATATTTCTACATTAAATCTTCTTTAGTCAGATTACGACACTGCAGTCCTGGGGCTCTTTATACATACTGTGCACTGTACACCGGTGGTTCCCACCCTGGGAAAAAGGTCAATCTCAAGGATGGTGAGATGATTTTTAGGATAGAAAACCAGAAAAAAATATTTCTGCAAAACTTTCTGACTTTTAAAGGTCCCATATATTACTCTTATCCTGTGTTTTATTTGAAGTGTTGATCCATTTGAAGATACATTTGTGGTTTTAAGAACCAAAAACCATGTCAGTGTAGTTCTACATCTCCTGTCTCTGGATTCTCTCTGGAGCTCTAGTAACAACAGGTCGGTGAGCCAATCAGAAGAGAGGAGGCTCTGAGCCTCTCTTCTGATTGGCTGACTGTTTTCTGAGTGATCCAATAACCATATAACAGATTTCAGGTAAAAACACTCAGAGAAACCAAATCCTGCAGGGGTTGGATGGTGGGTCCAGGTGGCCCAGGCTAGTGACTGCTTTGTTGTGACATCACAAAGTTACAGAAGTCCTGACGGCTGGTTTTAAGGCTCAGTTTCTGAATACAGGCTGTGTGCATTTCTCTGTGGACTGAGGCTTTGATACTTTCACAGTATTAATATAGAACCTAGACCTGATCTATAATCAAACAACACATGGACATCTGCCTTTACACTATGTGGGACCTTTAAATTTGTGAATATTTCAGCTCCATGTGCCTTTAAAACTATTTAAAATAAATGTGACTTAGCAATATTCAAAACTAACAATTAGCAATTAATCAATATTGAAAATAATTGTTAGCTGCAATCCTAAACACAAATATACACATTTAAACTCTCCCTGATCAAATCTAAAATTACAGACTTGTGAAGATATTTGTAGAAGGTTAATCAGGAAAATCTAAGAATGTTAAGTGAAATGCAGGACCCCTTAGATAATGCTAACAATTAGGGCAAAGTGGATTCAGTCCCTGTCTGGTATTCAGCTCACATCTGAACATTTCATTTCCTTTCATCGGGGGTGCATGTTCAGGAGACAGCTGCTAAACATATTTCCTGGACCACAGACTTATCGGACCACAATGCATCTTTACCAGAGCTCTGCCCACAGAGAAAAATGAGAGGACTCTGGGAATGGGACTGGATAGAAAAGCCTCCGGGGGGGGGGGGTTTAGCATTAATACCAAGTTGATGCACACACAGGGGGGTGGAAAGAGATATCAGGTACCATCTGTGAACTCCACTGACTTGATTTCTAAGAAGAACAACAGGCCTCAAATCTAATTGATCCCAATTAAATAGATGAAATAATAAAAAGACAGAAAATCTACCAACTAGGCTGAGCCGCCATCCTCTCCATGTAGTCCTTGGCCAGGTCGAGGGCCCCGGCCCTGTGAGGGTAAAGCAGGCAGAACATGGACAGCACACCCAGGTTGTTTCCGTACACCTCGTTCCAGCGGGCGCTGAACTCCGCGGGGCTCCAGGGGGGCAGGTACCCCTCCGGGTTCTCCAGCATGGTTTCCCCAGCCTCACGGATCCTCCTCGCCATGTCCCGATGAGTCCCTGTGGCTGCGTACTGCAGCTCCTCCACATCCCCCCGACTGAAGTACAACATGGGATGCCCATCATAGTTGCCTCCCATGAAGGGGATTCCTCCGCTGGGGTCCACTTCCGTTGCCGCCGCCGCCGCCGCCTCCACCGCCACCACCGGGGCAAGCAGGGGCCACAGCAGACTTATGAAGAAGACTGTGGGGGCCCCACGGGTGTGGGTTCTCATCGTCTCATCAGAGAGGAGACCGTGGCATTGCCGAAGGAGCTCAGCTGAGAGGGAACAGTGGGGGAAGAGAAGGATTTGAGAAAGCCAGCCCATATTCTGCACAAAAGCCCTGCATTCCTTGAATAATTAGATACAGCTGTAGTTCTGATGATGCAGGCTTTCCATACTGATGTAGGCCGTGAATGAGCAGCACGGTTAAAAAGTGGCCACAGCACTGTCACATGAAGCAGGAGTCACTGTTGTTAAAGTCAAAACATCAACAGGTTTCAATTTCCTGTCTCTAATTCTAATTTCTTTATCATTCCCAAGAACGTGCGTGCAATTAACCACATGCATGTTACAAATGGAGGTTGTGTTGCACCTTTGCACGTTGCGTTACTTCATATTCACCCCCCCCCCCTAAATTTGGTTTTGATCGCTTTTGTGAGACAAGTCTAGCCATGCACACCCAGATGTCCAGACGAGCAGAGCCGGAGGTCATAAAAGGCCCAGTACTGCAGTAACACGACTCTGCTCGACTGAAACAAGCTCTAAAAACCAAAGTGCTGCGCTTAACAGAAAGACAAGAGTTGGCCCAGCGTCTCCGCTCTGAACATGAGGGTAAATTCCATGACCTTAGTGGAGCTTCTGGCAAAGGCCTGGTGGAAAACCATTTGGTAGTGATTTAAACGACGTCTAGACTGGAGTCCGGTCTAATAGGTGTGAGCTGTCAGGGCTGTGTGTGTGGAGTTTTATGTTGTGCCTGATAAACAAGTCGAGGTACATACACATGCTTCTCCTCCTGAGGGTTAGTTTTGAGATTCGACCTTGTGAGGCGAACACGAGGACGGTCGACGAACCCGTCAAGACGACTCTGGACTAAATTATCACAGGAGAAGCAGCTGTGTCATGAGCCAAGGAACTATTTTTTACAGAAGACGCTCTCTAAGACTGAATCAGACTAATCTTAAACTGACTCGCTTTAAGTTGCTTCTCTGAATTCAGTGGGTAATATTTAAGAAGCGACTCACAGCAGGTCTGAGCTGATCAATGATTTAATTGATTAGTCATGTGACAAGCAATTAAGAGATTAACAGTCAAATAATTTATCAAGCAAAAAAAAATGTGCAGGTTATGAGCTCTTACATGAGAGGATGTGCTGACGTTCTGTTTGACATCATTGTAATATGTCAAATATAACTGACTTTAATCTTTTAATCCTGCACTTTAATGAGACATTATCTATTTTATAATCTGTGTTTTTATACTGTTTTCTTATTATACTTTTATCTTTTGTTTCTGTTCGGCACATTGCATGACCTCTGGGAATGATAATGTCCTACACAAATAAATGTGCCTTGCCTTGAGCTCTGGGAAGTTGCGATGGCATTTTTCTAACTATTTTTGAAACTAGATAGTTAATCAGAAAAACAATAAAGAGATTCTGCAAGTTGCATGCCTAAAATAATATGTGGCAAAAGAGAAAGACTGGGTCATTTAGAGCATGGGAATCACACATCAGTATATTGTGAACACTAACTGAAATGTGTGAGTTGCACAGAATATTGAAAAGTGTCATGCATCAAAAGACACTTCGCATGTGTTTGCACTGCGATCAATACCAAGACCTTCTTCTTTGCTGATCTATTTGTTGGACAAATAAAGTCAAATTTAAGTATAGTGAACACATAAACAAACACCAGCTTGTGAAATAAGCTTTTAACTGAAGAATCAATCCTCCATTGTTGTTGTAAAAGCCCCCAGAGTTCCTTAAAGTTAGTTATAGTCCTGTTTAAAGTGTCTCTGTACTTGTCAGGTACTGGAGTCTTTCTATTGTGTCAGAGTTGTAATATTACTGTTATTTTGTCCTTCTAATTTTGCATAAAAGCTATTCTTCTTGTATTGATAAAGGGATTATTGTAGTGAAATAGCAAAAAAAAAAGAAGAAGAAAAACAAGAAAAGTCATTGTAAAAAATAATAAGCTAAAAGAAATGACCATTTAAAACCAGATTTGTACCATTTGTAACTTCCCGTGCTTAAAAAAAAGTCTAGTGCTTCTCAAATGAATGATTTAAACATGTCAGTCAACATCGTTTCACAGTTTTACGACGGTACAACAGCAGATGTTTCACTCTCAACCACCAGAAAGTGTCATGGTCTTTACCCACAGAGGCAACTCCTCCATCTTCTTCATGGGAATCAGATCCTGCAGTTACAACTTTTTAACTTTTCCTTCGTGTCCGTCTTTCAGTTTCATTAACAGGCCACATGTCACCCGACTGCGCCTGTTTTCAGTTTTATGAATCGCTCTCCACCAATCGGCGAAGTGTTTTTTTTTTTTTTTTTAAAACACTAATATCAGTTTATCGATGGTATTGATAATGCTATAAAAAAAAAAATATCTGCGCACAACAGTCGCCTTGTTCCTGCCGCGACCGCGAAAAAGCCTCGGGAGCAGTGAAGGGAAAAGAGGTCTGAACGTTACCTGTCAGAAGCGGTGCTCACAAATCCGTGTTGCCGTCCTCACAACTGTCATTTCTTCTTCTCTTGTCACAGCGGTGGTGAGGGGTTTCTTCTCTTTTTTTTCCTTTTTCTTTTTTTCTTTTTTTTAAACAAAGGTTATCAATATGTTTGAAAAGTTTGGTTGTTTTTTTTGTTTTTTGTTTTTAGGGGCGAAGCAGAGTTAGAGAGCGGAGGGAAAGAATGTGTGAGTGCGGAGGGAGCGTCATGCTGGCGAATGAGGAGGGGCAGCAGGGGAGAGAGGCTTAAAGGAGACCTAATGAATTAAGTGGATGCCCTCCTCCCACTCTGCTACATCAACTAGGTACTGCACTAAAAAAAGTTCAAAACTAATCCACACAGGAGATACACAGTGGTAAGAGTCTACTTCTACATGTTTGACTTGGTTCAGACTTAAAAATAAATCTCCAAACATAAATATTAGACCATTTTGCCATGTAGGTTGAGTCTTGTCTCCTTGCTAGCTCCAGTTTGTACATCCAGTGTAGTTTTGTATTTGATGATGATTTAAAATAAATAAATACATAGAAATTAAATTCAATAAACTTTATTTGTCAATTTAAAAGGCGCATGGAGTAGACAAAATACTATACTATATGTAAATATAATAAGAAGGACAGAAACAAGACAACATGGGAAATATACCATCATTAGTGCAATAAATAGTGTACACACAAATAAATAACTGACTGTACTAAATATGATAAAAGAAATGGCTTTACGACTGCAATAAAATAAACTACGTGACATATCTACAGTGTAGTGTGCATCTGGCATGTGACATATATGAGGTGTAACGTGGACAGGTAGCAGGTCACTTGATAGCCACTTCTGTTCTGCACACATTTCTAGAAACCCTCAAACTGACCCTGCAGGCACACAGCTGGCCACCAGCTTTGTTGACTGAATGGAGGTTGTGGAGTTATTATTAAAATTTGATATCAGGACATCGTCTAATGCCAACGTCAGTTTGATCTGGAATACTGATGTCAATCCAACGTCTTCCAACCCAAGTAGCAAAATACCCATACACAAATGTAATATATGTGCATATATTGCATTTCCATATATGAAACATATGTTCAAATACAAAAAAAATGAACTATATGAAACTTAAATATTTAAATATATGCACATATAAAAATTTTACAATGGGTATTTCGTATATGTTATTATATATTATATCTTCATATATCCAGAGGATGTACTGTATATGTGTGATAATAATATATCCCCTTATAGGTGATGTATAAGGCAACATCACTCTTGCTATAGGGACTAGTATGTCATATATTACATTTCTTCATGGGTAAATCCGGCCAATACTTGGGCCACATGCTTATTTTCTTCTGGCCCAGTATATGCCCGGGTTCCACGGCCTGAATTTGCCCCTTATACAGCATGATCGTCAGATGCTACTTCCACATCTGGACCTATTCTGGGACACACACAGAAAATCTTGCGGCTGTCAGACAATATCGGAGGATCACAGCCAGAATCTGCCCAGATGTGGAAGTGTATATAGGCCAGACTTTGGCTGAGGAGGCAGGCATATGTTGTGCCAGAAGTTTCCTTTAGCTATCTTGGAAACGTCTCATGCCAATGCCATACTGACGTCTGCTAAAAGTCACAATGACAATTAGCCAAGGTTGGATTTTGACATCAACCTGATATTCATTAGTCCAACATCTTTTTGATGTCCGCCGCCTGCTGGGGAGAAAGTGTAGCTTTTAAACACATTTTTCCTCTTATAAATGAAATCTTGTCTTTATAAGCAATAAAACAAATACTTTCAACTGAACTGATTGTACTACAGGAAAAAAAAAGAAGCTTCTTGAATAAACCTCTGGGAAAATTAACAAGGCAGCTCTGGTGTCAGTAATTTTGTCAACCTTGTAGTCATTAAGAAGGCTCTCAGTCATAAAACATTAAATATGTAATGAATCAGTATGCTCAACTCACAGTGTGCTTATCTGAATCCTCAAACACAGAGACCAGTAGACCAGTAAAACATTGTTGTAGAAGAGTAAATGGATTCGGAAATGTCGACAGTGATAAGGATCAACAAGGTATCTGGGGAGGGTACACAGGGGCTTTTTGTCATCAGTCTAAAAATTGATATAAGTTTAGTTTTTAAAAGAAGTCTGATACCTGAATGAAAGGTCAATTGGAAAACATTCATGACTATTCATATTCAGATAGCAGAGAGGTTTTAGCTGTCAAATCACAACAGCTGGGAACTACAGTGCCCTACAAGCCCAAAAATATTGAGACCAGAATATGACATTTTGACATCTGTTTCAGTATCAGCAAGTATTGTGCTCTTGAAATTTATAACTTCAGTCAAAACAGCCAGAGCTAGCTCTTCAGAGAGACAGCCAACTACTAAAGCTACATCAAGTGAAAGCTAGCTGTAGAGAAGCTACTAAGCTAACCCTAGCTAATGCTAAATTTACTTTTTCCTGCGCTCAGTTTGCAGTTGAAAAACGTCACATTCACATTTTGGCAATTCAATATGTTAACACACAGCGTAACTAATGTGGCAGTAGCTAAATCTTATGATGAAGAAGAAAAAAAAAAACAGCTAAACTTTGTTGTGGCTAAAAGCTAACTAGCCTAGCTTATAAGCTGTAACTGCCACTTTTGACTCTAGTGGAATTCATCATGATTAAGTTGCTCTAAAATGAAACAAATGAAAGCATCACAACCTTTCTATCTTTTAAACAATTTTTTGGCCAACCTAAAAACTCTTTTTCTCATCTTGACTGTTTGTATAGCTACTGCTTTCTGTCTTTGTAGGGCAGTACAACTGAACCCTAATGAGGGACTGGTGTGAGACAGGGCTTTGACTCTGCACAGTCATCCCCTAAAGAAATGCTGCAGAGTAGTTCAATGACCTGTGATGGTCTGATGGCCCCATTAAACCTGTTCAACTCAAGTCCACACAGCCACAGTAAAAGTCGGGTCAGTTTTATTTACATAGTGCCAGATCATAACATAATATATCTGAGGGCTCTTTTGATATAGAGCAGGTTTAGAACGTACTGTTTACAATATTATTTACAGAGACCCAAGATTCACCCGTGTCCCCAAGCATTTGGCGACAGTGGCAAGAAAATACTTTCTTTTAACAGGAAGAAACCTGGAGAAGACCTGGGCTCTGGGCAGACAGCGAGAGAGAGAGAGAAACGGAAAGAAAGCAGAGGGAAAGTGAACATTGTACAATGCAAGTACCACATATAGAGATATAATAATAATTGTAGCAGTGGGCGTTGAGCAGGATCACAGATCCGGAGGCGGAAATACCAACAGAAAGCAACAGGAGGAGAGAGAGGAGAAAGCAGAAAACTACGGGGGAGAGACGAAGCCATGTTAATAACATCAATTAATGGGATATGAAGGAGTACAGAGGGAGAGGGAGAGGAAGAAAGAGGAGCTCAGTGTATCAGGGGAAGTCCCCCAGCAGCCGAGGCCTATAGCTTTATAACCAAGGCTCACCTGAGCCTGCCTCAACTATAACCTTTACCAAAATGTAAAGTTTAAATCTAATCTTAAACGTGGAGACGGGGGTCTGCCTTCCAGACCTTTTTAGCAAAGTTATAAATTTGTTTTAGTGTTTGAGGATAAATCGGTAACAGTTGAGAGCAGGAGGTGGTGAATTTTGTCTGTAAGAGTTAAAATTTTATCATTAAAGAAGCTCATGGAGCTACAGGAATACATGGCTGCAAAGAAACATGGGGTTCTTTTTATTTGGCTCTATTAATGAGGAGTATTAGTCTGCTCTGGCATCTCAGGCAGCCTTCCTATATGGCGAGATTCCTCCAGATTGGTTTTGTGATGTTTGCTTTAATTTGTCACAAGGTACAAGGCCTTTTTTTTGCTGAATTTCACAAAGAACACTGAGAAACAGGAAGCTTTATGTAAGAAAATTGTAGAACATTTTATTTAATTGACAGTACTTCAACACTTGAACACAGAATTTAACTTTCCCTGTGTTTTCAAGGACATAAGACCACAAATTAATCCAACATAAGGCAAATGTGCATGTCAAATTTTCCAGGTCAGATGAGAAAAGAAAAGTACAATCACCACAGCTGTATGCATAAAACACTTGCACACACAGCACAAGAAATAATTCACTTTGGATGACCAATCTCACATACACGCTGACAGCTGTGTGCTGCTTATTGTCAAAATATTCCCTCTTCAATTGTGAGATGATGGTCATCTTAAAGGAACACTTCGACATTTGGGAAATCCTCTTGTTTAACGATTTACCTAAAACCAAATGAGAAGACTGAAACCAGTGTCATCTCTGTGCGCTTGGCATAGAGACAGGTCTGGCACGCCTAGCCTAGCTTAGCACAAAGATTGGCTAGCTAGCAGCTAGCCAAAAAAAGCTGGTCTGGCTCTGTTACTAAGTACTTTCAAAAAACTCCATCCGGTTTTAATTGCACATTGAAGCTTGTTAAAGTAAAACTTGCTAACCGTGCTGAACAGTTGACACCGAACCACCTGAGAAGTAACACTGAAGATTTCCAGATTTTGCCACTAGTTCAAAAAGTCATGGACCATGATAAAGCTGTTTGCTGGCTTTGTTTAAATTATTCAAAATAAGTATTTGTTGGTTATCATTGTGGCTATGTCAGGTTTATACCAGAATCTTAATGAAAATGTTCTCTGAAACAGAAGCGTTGAATATCTAACCTTCAAATCCAAACTCGATGTGGGTAAATTTGATCTGAACTAAACCAAGAACCGACCGAAGAATTATAGCACATAGCAAGTTTGCTTGGATCCACTCAGGCCTCAGGAAATATGGACCTGCAGACCCAAGACAGAGTGGAATGGGACCACACCTGGTTGGTTTTCAGTTACTAACAACAAAGTAGATGAATGAAGACTTCTACTTTGCGCACAGTCCCAACTCTGTTGCCAAACGAACCTGGGAACTCATGGAAGTGACTCTTGAATTAGTGACAAGTTTTGCTAGCTATCAAGACCAAACACTGTCGAATGTTTTGTCCAGTCTTGGTGCTAAGTTACGCTAACGACTTCTAGCATGCGCTGAGATGAACCTGATATCAGTCTTCCGCGACAGAAACAAGCAAACTTCCACAGATTTGCCCCAAACTGAGTGTTCCTTAAATATTATGGCACAACTTAGTCTATGCACACCGACAAAATAACCATTCAGAAGTCGGTTAAAGCATATCTCAATCTGGTACTGCATATAAATGAAGCACAAGTTTTTTTTGTTTGTTTTTTTTTTACACAATCACTCAAAGAGCACATGTCACCTTTGCACCAAAAAAAAAAATTAATAATACAGAGAACATCTAGCATAGTCTTTATCATCCATTATTATTATTATTGTTTCCCAAGAGTTGTGTCTTTTGAAACAGCCAGCACAAAGGACGGCGTTGTGCCAGTTCTTTAGCAACAATGACCCGAAGGTTAACACCTTCCACGAAACTGACACAGTGGAAACATCAGACCTTAAACCTCATTTCAAGGTTACTAAAATGCATACAGTGAAACTATATTTAAAAAAAAAAAGAAAAAGTAAGACTTCACAATAACAGTGTTATACAGAAATACTGCCACAATGATTCCAAAGGACTTTTAAGGGACAAACACACTGTGACCATCTGGGTTTTGCTTACAGTAGATAACACTCTTGAGGTAATCACTTTAGGGAAAAAGAGGTGGTAAAATGTACACTTTATTCTGTAAAAGTTAAAACAATCTACTACTGAAAATAAAGGAGGGGGGCTTCACACATTAAACAATAACACTACATCTCTTATTATTACTGTATGCAGATACATACATACATACGTATTTCCACGTATACGGTACACTAAACCACGAAACGACGTTCAAATGTAGGCGTTATTACAGAGAGATACTGCAGCTTACATTCACATGGTTTCTCTGAACGGATGAGGAGTGTATGCTTCCTGTGCTCCACAGATGGCGGAGGGGGTCAGGTGGGAAACTACAGGCAAAAAAATGGAGGCACATTCCTCTCCTGAGGCAGAGGGGTATGGGAGAACTTTTTCTTTTTTTTTTTTCAAACTTTTTCCTTTTTTCTTTCTTTCTTTCTTTTTTTTTTTTTTATTTATTATGACAGACTCTCGCACCTCTTCAGCAAAGAATCCGGGGGCCTGGGGTAGTAGCCGGTGGTGCAGGGCTTGTCTGGAGAAAACCTGGGGAACTTGTAATCCAGAGGGAGATCTAGAAAGTTCAAGATCAAACAGGAGAAGAGTCAGCTGGGAGATATGAAGTACATGTACTGAACTATTGATGCTGACCGGTAAATGATCATGAGGAATGATTCGTTGTTCAGAGGAAAGGAGCACACTTTGTTCCTCACAGCAAAGTAGTAATCACTCGGTCCAGAGAATTTTTGACTCACCAGTGTTTTATCTTTTGCCTCCAAAAGAGACAACTCTGGCATACAAAAAATTATAAATTACAGGCCTGGAAACACAAGTGGGTTGAAACAGATGCAACACAGACCCTGGGCTGGGCAAATAACCGAAAAAATCTGAAAAACAACATTTAGAACCTCTAACGATTTAACTTTGCTCATCATGTCGGTTAATTCGGTTAATACTTTCCCCAATGTCGGCCTTTATAAACTGTCCTCTTGAAAAAAAAAAAATGCTCCCCTGCGTTCACTCAAAGAGAACTAATATATTTTAATTTTTTGGACTTTTGGAAACACTGCTGGACCCATTCTCTCTTTCTATCTGGAAAAAAGAAACGTCTTTGTTCATTACTCATGTCTTTAGATTTTCCAAAATCAGTTTGGAGAACCTCAGGGGTCTATTTTTAGCCCATTTTTATTTTCCCTACATGCTACTTCTGGACCATATTAATTGTCACGTCATCTCTTTACATCCTAACTAATGCGTTTTTACTTTTTAAAATGCATCTCTTACTCCACCCAGACAATACTACTGAAGCCTCCCTCTACTGCCGGTGACGCCAACGGCTCAACAAAAGAGAGAGAATGATAAGCGCCAAATTAATCGTTCATTAATCGGAATCGAAGTAAAAGTTTGAAATAACTGTGATATTGATTTGAATTCATAACGTCCAGCCCTACCACTTCCATCAAGGAAATCCAGGACATGAGAATCAGGACTTGTACTTTGATGAGGGAAACATTCGGCAACAGCTGTAGACAAAAGTGACGGCAGACCAACAGGGTTCGATGGAACTGGAGCAATTTCACTCGGATTCAGACTCGGCCAGTGTGAAAACAGCCCTGAGCTCATGGTTATATGCGAGACTGGCATCATTTTCTCCAGGAACTGCTCTGCAGCAGTGGCAGTTGGAGCTAATTCTAACTTTGGCTCCACATCTGTGTCTGGTTCAGTCCCTGTTTTGACTCTTGTGAGTGTTTCTGTGTCGAGAGATGAAGAAATCGTTTGATGTGGCAGATTGCGAACCACTAAAAGTTGAACATCAGATTGTTTTTTTCCGGTTTTTACACCATGAATTTGATTCTCATGCATGTTCTGTGTACCATATGGGTGTATTTAAAGGAATACACAGCCAAACATTTGATCAGTGCCTTGTTGAAGAAAATCAGATGTAACGTTTTGTTTTTTAGCTGTTTGTGGTTAGTACAAACTCAAAACATGCTAAACTGTTTACCTGTTGTCTTGATAAATTCAATATAATGTTCATTTCTATGACAAGCAGAATCATGTCACACTTATCACTCTGCTCTAGTTTCTCCCCTTGGCGATAACACTGTTTTCACCTGCTCTGCCATTCGTTCATTCGATTTTAAAGTACCGTCAATGAAACCGTAAAGCAGCTCATTTCGTATAGCCCTCCGTTGCTAATTAAATGAATGTAGAAGAAACACAATAATGAAATGATTTCACTGGGAAACCGTGAAGTATAAACTGGTTCTCTCTCTCTGTCTATCTGGAAAACAGAAAGTTCTGTAATTCCGTTAACATGTCTCTAAATTGGCCAAAAGTGGTTTTGGAGTACCTCAAGGGTCTATATTGTGCCCATTTTTATTTTCCCAATATGTTACCTCTAGGACCATATTATTAATTGTTATGTCCACGGTCAAAATGCTGCGTTCACTACAGGACTGTCTTGCTCTGTCATTATCGGTAAACAGTATATTTCTCCAAAGGTACGAGCTAATTTTATGATTCTGATATTGCGACATTAAAACCTGTAGCTAATAATCCATTAAGTTCGACTGCAACTTTGTTCAGTTTCTTTGGACTTTGCACACCAAAGGATTTTAGTCACTGGATGCACAAATCAGGAGACTTCATCTTTTCTGTCTGGGCCCTGAAACTCCACTTAGTCGAGTTGACATCTTCTTTTAAAATCACTTCTCAAATAAAACTTTAACAGTGGAGGTTATGCTAATTTAACCTCCCTCTCATTTTAGCTAATTAACTCACTTTGTCATTTCTAACTGCCTTGTTTTTTGATCGTCTTTTTTGCTTTCTAATCTTCATCTCTATACATTATCAGCATTTTTGTCCTGTTTTTTTCCCCCTGCTACTACATACCTGCTATGTGCTCAACACTAGGGATGGCCATGGTGCTGTATTTGTGAATGCAGTGGGAGCACCAGGTCAGTTTCTGGCTCTCCTCGTCCCCTCCTCCACTTCTATGTACGTCGACAAAGTAAGAGCCCCACTGGTTGGACACGGCGGAGGGCGACTTCATGCCCTGCTCCTGTTGGGACAATCGACACACAAACCAAACTGTGCGTCAAGATTCAGAGATTCACTCTCAGGCAAGTGCAGACATGATTAAAGGAAGTGGGAATTCCACCATGAGCACAGGGAATATAGGGAGACTTCAAACTGGCTTCGACCCAAGCAGCTTTGAGGGTTATTTTCAGAAATGGAATGAATCATTATTTCTGAGAAATCCCCCGCCGGCTTATTCATAATCACTCATACAACATGAATACATCTAAAAGGCAGAAAGAGCTGATAGCAGCAATGGCTGTGACAACAGGATGTGAAGGGAGGATGTGATAAGATACAAACCTCACAAGCCTCAAAAATACTGTTGTGCTTTGCACAATATCAACTAATGTCATCACAAACTGTTGCATAATATAGAGACAAGGAAAAAAAAGAAAAAAAAAGAAATCATGTTATCATGTCGTTGTGGAGATATGCACCAAATATATAAATATATCGATATCTAAATAAACGTGAAAAAGAACCAGAACCCAGAAAGTTGCCTGAGGTATTTTTTGAAGATGGGGAAAAGGCAACAGGGTGAAACACAAACCTCTGACCTGAATTAGCAGAGAAACAGCGACGCAACTCATCACAGAAGATACTCAACAACCCTTAAAGTGATAGTTGGGGTTATTTGACAAGAAGCTGAGTGATGTGTTTTAGCCACTTTAAAAAATGCCCGCTGAAAAAAGGACCAATAGGATGACCACGTGCAGAGCAGCACATCACTCCTGCTGCTTCTCCAAACTGGGAGAGTGCTGATCTGAATCCACTGCAGGTATTGATTGATTGATTAGTTTGATTGATTGACTTTATTTTCCACCTCAGTGGAAATTCGTCGGAAAAACTCCTTTCACCTGTTTTTATACTTGTTTACTCTCTCAGTCGGATTGCGCCCTAATGGATGACATCCACGGCAAAAACTGGAGAATCAAAATGGATAACTGGTGAGCGACAGGAAGAGTTAAAAGGAGAGAGTCAAGAGACAGATGGTGAAATCAAAAAGAAGGAAATTGAGCTTCCCCTGCTTTCAGTTCAGTCCTGAATCTCCAATCATTAACCAATTGCTTTGGCCTCTGTATTGTTATGGGGTCGCCACTATATCTGAGATTTTCATTGGGAAAAAGGTTGGACTATGAGACCAACACAAAACATCCCTTCAGGCAAAGCACATTACTTTTTTCTGTGTAACTAAACAGAACACTGTCTGCAGTGTGGAGCGCCTGCATGAGAATCAGACAGCTGCAGTGTTACTGCCATGCACCATCAGATTGAGTATTAAAGATAATACTGACAAATAGATAAACCATAGGAAGAGGAAGTCTTTGAAGACTCTAATCTTTCTCACCATCGAGATTTCATCTGTGCCAGTAATGTTGTTTATCTACTAATTTACATAACGTCTATATACAGTGGGCTGCAAGATCACAATTAGACAAATAATATAAGCACATTTGAACTCGCTTTGCCTGACAACAGATATTTTAAGCTTGATCAAAACAGTGTTAAAACAGCAGTCGACCGCTGGAAACACCACAAACCAACAGGAATATTTGTGCTCTGGACCTAATGGGAACTCTGGGGTGAAAGTGTAGACACACACGTTCCACGGAGGACAGTAGTTTTTGGGGCGGGGAGGCCCATTAGTAAATTTGTGCCCTGGGGCGTCTGTGGCTGATAGGAGTCATTATTAGAAATACGACAATGAAAACCACGTTGTGATAAACTGGTATCATAATGATCCTTCGATGCAGTTATTCATTAGTTCTGGATCTGGATCAGTTGGACTTCTGCAGGTCATTACTGTTTGGACTCAGCTCTGGTACCTGCACAGTGTTCAGTGAGTGGGATCAGAGGGCTCAGGGTGTATGAGGCCGTTTAAATACGTCTTTTTCTATCTGTTACACAATCTAAACAGCAGCTTTTGGACACTCCTTTGCATTTTGGGAAAAAAAAAACAAAAACAGGTCCACTCCTGGTTTCGTGTTTCTTGCTAAAAGACGACTCATCACTTTCTGACTGTCAGGATTTCAGCGTCCTGCTGGTTAATGTTAGAGATGCACCGATTCCAATTTTCTGGGTTGATTTCGCTTTTAGCCGATTCAGATTTTCTCTCTCAGATCTCTAACTGACCGTGACACAAACGTTTCATGTGTTCACAATAAAACACTGACTATTAACTATTACATAACTAGATGAATGTCTCTCTTGCTCTAAAGGAGTGTAAGCAAAACTCCTTTTTTTCGTTACAACTCAAGGCACACGTGTGCGAGCTGCAGACGCACAGATGAGGTCGGGGGTGTGGCCTGAGTTTTAGCTGCTTTGCCTTTGCTGGCTTCTTGTTATTGGAGTTGATTGATGGTGTTTTAAGTGTCTGATTAAGTTTATTGCTCCAAGTGTTTTCGTGGTTATTCCTCCACGACTTCCTTTGGCCTTTACAGGTATTACAAATTGCGAGCTACGTCGACGGCATGTTGTGTGTGCGTGACGTGAACCACAGGGCGGCGCAGAATCTCATCGGATATCTGAGCCAGATTTAGCCGGTCACCAATCACAGCCGATCGCTCACAGCGGACAGATCAAGAGCAATGATCAAAAGTGATCTTATCATCTTTTTTTATTCCACGCATTCTTCTTCCTTCACCTCCATTACCCACAATGCAACTCAGTCAGAGATTGAGGTGTGTTACGTTAGTAGCAGCTAATGTAGCCTGGAAAGCTCCTTTTAGACATTTATCACATTTCACATAAAAGACTTTTTACAGCTGTTTTCAATCTGAATTATGTGGAACAGACTTTGACGTGTAAAATGAACGGACATGCGCTTTAAAGTCTACATCACCAGTGACTTTAAAAAACTTACCCACAATCCTCTCTGGGAGCTAATATACACATACAAACACACACTTGATGATGCAAAAGAAGCTTGTAGGTGTGTACTGAAATGGTGGCGGTGGCTCAGAAGGAAGAGGCTCACAGAGGTGGGGGTGGGGTTGGGGGTTGGGGAGCGAGGATTGTGCTGGGTGGGGGAACCGGCCGCTAAACGGAAACAGCTGCTTCAGTGAACTTACCTCAAACTTTCCCTTTTTCTCCAGAGGCTCCACTTGGGCCTCATTAGACATTGCCGCGTCGCTCTTCGGGATCCCCTCCCCCTCCATCTCCTCCACTATCATCACCGTTTCCCACTTCCCGAAGCTGCTGGCGGGGAACATGTCCGACCTCATGCTGTCTCCAAAATACACCACCTGCAGGGCGAAGACGACAAGAGGACAGAAAAGGACAGCTTTTTAAAAAAAAAATGTTTTATTGTCGACCGCAACGTAAATGTTTCAACGCATATCCCCCCTCCCCCCTCCCCCTGGGTGAGCCAGACCAGACACGATGAGTCTGCAAAACACATTACATCCCCTTTGACCATCACATCTCTTTTGTGTCCTCCGCCTCTGGAAAGAAAAGCAAGTTGAGGCAGGCTTCACTGAGACGCATTCCAACACTGAAGTGCAGGAACACACCAGCTCACAGCTTCAGATCCAGCTCCCTTCAGATGGGAGAGGAAATGGAGTGAGGAGGAGGAGGAGGAGGAGGAGGAGGGGTGGAGATGGCTGGAGATTAAAAACGAAAAGACAGAAGTCTGCTGACACCCTGAACACAGGAAAAAAAAAAAAAAAAAAAAAAAACCTTTCACAGTCACAACAGGATACAAAAGTGAAAGAGCAGAGGCCGGTTCAGAGGAAAACATCTCCAGAGGCCAATTTTTTATTTGATTTTCAGACCTGTTTCTACAACTGATGGACATACATGATATACATACATACTGTATATATATATATTTAGTATGTGGTGTGCGTCCACCTTGGCTCAGCAAGTAGAGAAGCAGATTCTCATCTCGTCTTGTTACATCATCCATCACAGAGAATGACACCAAGTTTAAATTGATTTTTGTTTTTGTTTTTTTGCATTATCACGACATGGTAATACAGACTCAGAGTTCAATAACATGAACTGACACAAACTGATGCAGACGTAATCACAATCAAACAGAATGGAAAGAATTAAAAATCAATAAATACCTGGAATAGTGGAAACAGTCTTCAAATGTATAAAAAGTGCAAAACTGAACACATGGTGCTTTAAGTTTTAACATTTTTGCACAACTCAACTATTAAAAAATATAATTATTTGATTTGTTTTGATGCCTCACACTCCACTGGAGTAAAAGTTTATGAAGTTGGTAAAAGGAGATCAGGTTGTAGCTCGAGGCTGAAAACTTCCAATTATTCTGATTTTTCTTTTCCCGCGAAACAAAAAAAAAAATTGACTCTGAATGAAATATGAAGACCTGAAGAACTTTTCCTTTTCATCTGAATAATTTGTGTGTGTGAGAATCATCCAAATGAAAATCCTGCTCTTTATCATCGTCTGAAATCTTTCAGATCAAGTTTTATGGCAGCTGCATCATGTAAATCCTGCAAAGACCATAAAGGCCATAAAGAGGATGTAAGACATTCCAGTAGCTGCCTGTAAGTCCCTCCCCCTCACAGAGCTGAGCCTCTCAGGCCGACTGTACCACATGTAAACAAACAGTCGAGCTAATCGGGGCCGCTGCGGGCCGGGCCCAGAGGGGAGGAGNAATCAAATCTCTCTACAGGAGTTACAACGCCATAAAGAGGATGTAAGACATTCCAGTAGCTGCCTGTAAGTCCCTCCCCCTCACAGAGCTGAGCCTCTCAGGCCGACTGTACCACATGTAAACAAACAGTCGAGCTAATCGGGGCCGCTGCGGGCCGGGCCCAGAGGGGAGGAGGGGTGGGGGGGCATGGGGGGATGGGGGGACGCGGGGTGGGTGGGCGGGGGCTGGGGGGGATCACATTTCCACCAGGAGTTTCCCGGAACTGGCCACATCTGGCCCTTCTCCCCCCCCCCCCAAAAAAAAAACCCTGCGCACCTCTCGTCGCTCGGCAGAGCTGCTGCTGCCAGAGTCCCAGGATCACTGTGATAAATATTTACAGAGGCCGCAGATTCCAGCACAGAGGCAACGTATCATAAAAGAGACTCATTGTGGATGGACACAGTTACATTAGCCTGAACCAGACGGAGCGCTGCGTGAGTCAAACGCACCTTGAAGTGAACTAGGCTGCAGGCTACGGTTAAATCAGCTGAGAGGACCCCTCCCCTCTCTGCTACCTCGGAGCGCGACGTGACATTCTTCAGTGGTTTTAAATGCTCCTTTTAAGTTGTTGTATTTCATCCTTAAACCTGAGCAATATGTACCGTGCCACAGCGCAGCTCATGCTGGTATCGGCCAAGAACTTTCCCGAGCAGCCCCGAAGCTCCAGGACGGGACCGGGCAACGCAAACAAAGAGTAAAGCTTCACGGTCATTTGCTGAATGGATTCAAATATACTGAACAACGTCTTAACTCCCATTTTTCACAAGTTAGAATAAAAGATCTAAGACTTTTTTTCTATAAACACAAAAGATGCACACACTCGTTAACACAGATACACCTTGATGAGATCCTGAGGCCCATTGACCTGGACTAGAGTTTGTCCACAGGCCGTCTCGCCCGGCACGTCACCCATTGAGTGTTGTTTGGGATCTGCGTGAACATGTTCCACTTCCTGCTAATACCCAGCCACTTCACACAGCCACTGAAGAGGAGCGGTCCAACAATCAACAACCTGATATGTTGCGCTGCATGAGGCGAATGGTGGTCACGCCAGATACTGACTCGCTTTTCATCCACCACGATCCATGAGACAAAGATGCCTTTTTTTTTGTGGTTAGAAAAATTCGATTAGATCTTTAATTTCAACTCATGAAAAATGGGAGCAAAAGTGTTGCATTTGTATTTTTGTTCAGTGTAAATCCAAAAGTAAATATGTTTAATGCTCGAAACCCAACCCATAAATAATGCATGTAGAAGTGGTCTCTGTATTTAATCTACAAACGTTCACTAAAAGTCAAAAGTTTTATTTTAATGACACAATGTAATCTGGAATTAAAGCACAGAATAAATAAGGAATTGGATTTTTAAAAAAAGGAATCATGGAATCTTTTTGTTAAACTAATTTGAACCTACAGCAGCTGAACACACCTGTGGCATTCTTTCTATAATCACACTGGTCTGATGCTTTTAGCTCATTATGTTTCTGTGTGATGAAGCTCGTGACCAAACAGTCTGTCTTCCTGTGTTACTTGTCTTTTTCTCACCTGTAGGAATTTGTTTGCATTGACTTTCAAGGCTTCGTTTAACCTCCACTGCTGCAGGAAAGTTGGAATTGTTTCCTATAAAAGTCACCTCTTACCTTTGCACCATTCAAGGTTACTCACTGAACTCGAGCTGCTGAAATTTCAGTAACAACTGGAAAAATGAAGGAGCTCTAAAACCTTTGACCGGTAGTATAGTTTTACTGCTCCCAAGATTGTTCTTGAAACACAGTAGAATATCTTGGGTAAAGATCACTCTAGTTCTTTCCAAGTTTCCAGTTTTGATGTGCATTAGTATTAAGTCAAGTGATGTAAGTGGCATGATAGTTTTCTGTGAGTCAGGATCAGAGCTGCAGAAATGAAATGTTTTGGTCGTCGCATCTCATGTTGATTGGCCTGTGTATGCAGTGAAAGGACATTTTAATTGTCTGTATTCTGAGACCTGAATGACTTGGGAAGACTTGTGACCTGACTTTGCATCAAGTTGCATTAAGCAATTTCTTTTCGTTTTAACTTGACGACTTTAAATGCGTTGTACTACTACCGATCCCGCTCAGAATCAACAGCCCATCCTCAGCTCTGTGCAGCTCCCATCAGCTCTATTATACTAATCAAAGGTTTTACAACTCCAGAAAGTTACACGTATCATGGCGGGAAATCATTTTATCCTTGGCGACAACGATCGCAGTAGAAACAGGGTGTTCATGTTACCAAGTAATCTAGCAGAAATGTACACCCGCGCATATTTTATTGGCCAGTTTAGCGTGTTGCCAGATGATGTCAACTCCATCGCGGCAAAAGTTGAGCCAGGTTAAACTTCACTTTTGCCAAGTAACCCTGAGTTTCTTCACAGGAGCCCTTTGTATCAGAACCTACACTGTGACAACACAGATGTCTCAGAAAAATAAATGAGTGGCGAGCGTTTTTTGCTAATGTTGGTGTGAACAGAACCTTAGTGAAATGACGGTGGATGGCGAAGACAGTCCAACGTCTTCCGAGCCAAAGAGGGGAATAATATATAAGAGCGTTCAAGTGTCAGTGCTGATACAACACGCCCAGGCTTATTGCTGTGAGTCTGTTTTTCTGCTCGCCGCAGCTTTATGGCGACATGTGCTGGTGGGTCCGTGGACGCCCATCTCTTATCGACTCATCACTCAGAGGAGCAGTTGAAGCCAAGCTAAGCCCAGGTACACAGTGCTGCAGGCATGCAAAGGCGCCTTAATGAGCCCATTGTATAGCACACTGTGTGGGACTGGGAGGCCAGGAAGAGGAGGGGGGGGGGGCAACAACACAGCAGTTCTTTCAGTTTTAAAATGTCATATTCCTCTGAAGTTGTGAAAATGAAATCATTACGCATCTTCAGAGCAGTTCAGATGAGGCCACGGCGAATATGACACATCTCCATACTAGTTGTACTAGTCCAGTAGCTTGGACTGGAAAGATCCAGACTAGTTTATCTTGACGAACTCCTCCTAAAGATTTCCCGGATCGACTCCAAAAGGTCAGTACAATCTTAAGACCTTTGCAATGCTAAATTGCAAAGCTTTATCAGGGTTGTGTGAACGGCGTGTTCTTGGCAGCGCGATGAATGTCACAATAGGAAGTTGTTGTAACTCTGTTATACATTGTCCAATCTACTTCACATGTCAGCAAATCAAGCTGATTTTCAAAATGGCTGTGACTCACTGTGAAAGTTCAACATCGGTTGGAAACTATTAAGAAATTCCTAAAGGAAGCTTCATTTGTTTTGTGATGGCTCTGGTCATCAACTGAATTCAACCTCCTCTGTTGCTGATAAAAACCAGCACAGGCACCGTTAATGATCACAGCTAGCCATACTGAGGCTGTATGATGGTGTCCCGTCAGCCCGGCCGCAACGCCAACAGTTTCAGCGCTGTGTGTTCACCAGGAATTGTAATCTTCCCTGAATGCCTCCATTCAGCCCGCTTGCATTAAGTCTTATCGGCTGAAAGTGGAGAGAAGTGAAAACACAGAGCGCCTCGGGTCACCCCGGAGGCGTGTTTAAAGCAGCTATAAGTGCAGGTTGACACTGAATTCCTCGAGAGCTTTCTCCACGTGGACGTGGAACAGAGGGGGCATTGAGGAGAGGGGAGGGAGGGGGGGAGGGAGGGAGGGAGGGAGGGGGAGCTGTGGGTGTGGGTGATGACGAGTATCGTTGGGTGGACTCTGCATGTGCCTGATCTGATTTGTCATTTTATTATATGGCACTGTGAGACACCACAATACACACAAGCTTGACACAGTTTTATCACCTGTGTACGCATAAAATAAAATGTATTATTAGTATTATTATTATTATTATTATTATTAAATGTAGCTGACCTGGTACCTCACTGCAGGTTTCTGGCGACCCGTGTCTTTCCCTGGTTTCCTGTCATCTCACTACTATCACTCTAACTGTGGAAAAAAAAACCCGCTGTAATTAATTGTGGTTAAACCGTGCCCTAACCTTAAGCTTGTAAGTCAGACATGATGTCATCGTTTGGGGTTAAGGAGACGGCTGTGGTCGGGAGTAAAAAATGTGTTACAAATCAGAAGCTGCTTTTATATTGAAGGCTGTCGAATGAAATTATAATATTCGTGTATTTGTCTGACAGGTGGTTTATATCAGGGGTTCCTGAACCTCATAGTGAATTTTTCACACAGCCCTTATGAGCGTGCTCAGGACCACTGCCCCATTTAATAAAATCCCTTCAGATGAGGCTCCCCTCAGTGCGGGACAGCTACTGCAGCTTCCGCTCCTCAACAAAGAGCCACAGGCCAAGGAGCTTTCAGTGGACTGTCTGATGTAGGTTTTTTTGTTGCTGGCTAATGTTTCGACCGTTGAAGGCTCAGATGAATCAGCGTTTTCTTCAGGTCCGCTCACTGTGACATTTTTTTTTTTTTTGTCCTGTTTCTGCTTCAGCTGAAAGCAGCGATTGTCAAAGGAGTTCTAGTGATCAAGTATTAAATCTTCAAATCAGAATATTGCATTTCTGTCGATATTACCTGAAACAAAAAGCCAACTTTGCTTTGAGTTGTTGGGCCTTTGCTTTTTTTTTTCTGTCTGCCCTGAGACATCACAATAAAAAGAATAGGCTGCATTGTGCATAAGAAGCTGGTATGAGGAGTTGGCTGCAGTACAAACAGCATGCTGGCACACAGGAGCCTTGTCCACAGTCATGCCAAGGGCCACGTTCCTCCTCTCCATCACACCAGTGTGAATCTCCCTGAGCTGATTTATTATGAAGCCCTCATCTCTTTCAGCCTCTGCCAAAACCGGAGTTGGGGTTAAACCTCAAAGCGAGCCGGAGATGTCCTTCAGCCAGAGAGTTCAGACTGCCCGCTCCTGTAATATACGATCTGGCCGGCCTTACCTTGGGCTCTGGTTTTCCCGTCATGGTCTTGAGCAGCTCATGGAGGTGCGGCCAGTTGCCCTGGGAATACCAGCCGGGTTTGTCCAGCGAAGGGAGCCCCTCTCTCTCCTCCACGTCGTTCACTGGAGGAGAGAAAAAATATTTAAAAAAAAAAAAATCAGGCCGCACAGTTTGGCCAAACAGCCAGCTGCTACATGACCAGTCAGCCAGCAACGAACCTCAGCACAGCTCTCAGCAGCAGGCTCACAGGGAAGCAGAACAGCAGAGGCAGAGTGTGGATCATATGGACAGAGAGACTGCTTCAGTAGCTACAGGTTAGGACTCTCCTGCAGGGAGGGTTGTGAGATGAGCAACACAATACAGAAAAATACTGATACAAAACATTATTTTTCTCTGATTTTGCTCCATTTTGATCCATTTGTGTCCACGCAGGATGCGTTCAGGTACAGTATTGAGTGTAGGTCACCTTCATTTTGGCTGCATTCACACAATCGCGTTGGTTTTGGACGTAAAAGGGAAGGAAATAGACTTGAAGAGTAGAAAAGCACACTAAAATAAACTCTATTTTATTGAACCTGTTGTTTACAGTTCAAATAAATGTATATATTCAACATATATATATAATTAAACAGGGAAAGATAAGCTTTCTGATTTTGGGCACTAACCCTCTTCCAGCAGCCATTACCTCAGCTCAGCAGTGGAGGGGAAAACCAGGCTGTGAGTGAAAGCAGAGCAGTGGTGACTCGCCCCCTTCAGACCCAGCCATGTCCCCCTTTGTTTCAGTCCAAGCCCTCTACAACACCACGTGGAAGTTCAGGAGTGCTTCCAAAACCTCACATTTACCCTCCAAGAATGTCGGAGCCGTGCGTTCAGCCATGCAAAACACCCAAGTCACAGTGAGCTCACCCGGCTCATGAATAATGACTCAGGATTTTCCACTTGTTAGCTACATGTTTTATGATTGTGTAGAAGAAAATGTGATTCAGTGAAATGAGTTCAGAAGAGTCCAACCTCTGGTTTCACTGTTACTGTACAAACACTAATGTTGCTGACTGTGGGGAATGTACAGTAGTACAACAGTGGTGTTGTATAATAAAGCCTGGTTCAAAACTGATTTATTTAAACTACTCAAAGATGCAAAATTACAAAGTGAAAAGATGATTAAACAAGAGCAAGTGTGTCTGAAATCACTCTCTGTTTAATATATTTTGAGTATCTCTATTCTCAGAGTGTAAATGCACACTACTTTCTGCTAATAAACCCACAATGCATTGCACCACAGTTTGTTAAAAAATGGCCAACAGTCGACAGTGATGACGCAAACTTATCATAGTAAGTTATGATAAAAGTAGGTGTCCAAAAAATTGCAATTTAGAGTACTTGTTCATTATATATGGCGTGTGGTGAATGAGCAGCTGTGCTTTAAAGCTAAATGCTAACATCAGTATGCTAACATGCTCACAAGCAAAATGTAAATAAGGTAAAATGCTGATTTGAGCAAGTAATTTTTTTACCATGGTTGCTATCTTAAGTTAGCGTGTTAGCCTGCTAACATGGCGAAAGTGGACATGATAAACTGTAAACACAGCACTGACATATTACCACCATTAAGTAAGTAGTGTTGTCTCTGTATCTGATGAATGAAAGTCCAATATCCACTTTCCTTTAAGCTCTGTTTTGGACTTCACCAAATATCCGGCTCTTTAGCTGCTAAATGCTCCACTATGTTTCCCAGCTGCTCTCTAACTGTGCCTGTCTGCTGTTTGGTGCTGGGGAGGCAATGTGCAGTGGGTTCATCACAGCTTTTTTCACTGAAATCAGCTTCTTTCTATGACCGGGAACGAGGCTGACACAAGAACCAAATAGTAAAGTTATGGGGTGTAAAACCAAAACAATGACCTGACAAATCAGTGCATAAGATCAACAACATGGTTTCACCAATTCTTCATGTAAAAATACTGATCAGTGCAGCTTCCAACCCTAACTTCTGCACATAATTTTCCATAAATTAACAATAATATATTCGTGCATAGTGATTTCGTGGCTTGACCACAACGTGCAGAATCAATCAGGAGTGCGGCGTGCTTTCTAAAGATGGTGTACTGTACATGAGGAGCTGCGGAGAGAGATCTGGAGTGGAGCCTGCAGTTTACGCTTAAGTTCATTCATCAATCACACGGAGAAGCTGCTTTCCCACGCAGGATTGAATTCAGTCAGAGCTGAGTGGTGCAGTTTAAAGTTTTCGAGGAAACGTTTGAAACAGACATTTAACTCTAATCAGATAATTAGTGGGCTGCGTTTGTATTTTTCGGTAATTTCCCCAAACGCTGAAACACTCTGTCCTAACGGTTTGTGGTTATTTATTGGCTGCATTTTTTTTTTCTAGCGTGAAGTGCTGACACACAGGAACGTGATTGAGTTATATATGAGACTGACACAAACATGTTGCAGGTGGTCTTTATTATGTGGACTGGAGCGGGTCTGGTTTGTGGTGCGGCGCTTCTTTCAGCAGGAACTACAGCGTGTTTCAAAGGGCCTGTCACGTAGACATGTGTAATTGCTGTAGAGATTTCACTGTCTCTAATTACAATAATTGCAATGGGGAGTGCTGATGCATCACTTCCGAAACAGTAGTCCTGATGTTTTTCATTTTCCAAAGTGTGTTTCATTACATTTAAAATGATTTAAATCCTTCCTTTTTTTTTTTTTTTTTTTGAAGAAATGCTGCATTTTAAAGGGCCATTACGTTGATTTCACACTTAGATAGAAGATTAGTTTACTTGTTATGGTAAATACTCAGCCTGAGAAAGCAGCTACATTGGACTAATTTAATTATTATTGTTTATTTATTATGAACTGTTTTTATTATTAGCAACAATGAGCTAATGGACACATGAATTTTCCCCTAGGGGATAATTAAGGTATCTATCTACAACATCTCTTCTGTGGCATGTGGTGGAGAAAAGAACCCCGGTGATGTCATAGTGATGTCACAGTGATGTCATCAGGGTTGCGAGAGTACAGATTTTTGAACAGAAAGCCTATGTATGTGACGAAATGGTGGCGTGGAGGTTCACTAAGCATGGAGCGTCTAATGAAGAGATGCTATTCAGTTGCATTGTGGGTAATGTAGTATCCAGCATTTTTGGAGTTGGATTGTGACTTAGGGGTTAAAAAAAGTACAATTCTTAAATGTAAAGATACATTTATTTTTATTCATTCAAATTTGTTTTTATTGTTTTTAAATGCTTTTTTAATGTCATCTTAATGTTCTACTTTCAATGTATTTCCACTCCTCTGTGAAGCACTTGCCTTGTGTCTGAATGGTGCTGTATAAACTTGCCTTGCCTTCTGTTTTTGCCAGGACTCCCTCCAAACAGAGATTTTTATTTTAAATAATGATTGAAAATCTGACCAATATTGACAAACCACATTCTTAAACAGGTCAAACTTGAAAAAACACCAGAGAAATAGGAATAAAGTCAAATTTATGCACGCATTTAAAAACAATTACACTAAAGAAATGACCAACATGTGGTCCGATGCTGTCTTTTGCCGTTATATAGGAATCAACAGACCACTTTCTTGGAAGTAGGTAATTGCTCCTCTGGACAGGCCGTGGTCTTTAAGTTGACTGACTGGTATTTAAGAGCAGCAACAGCAGCAGCAGCAGCATGAAAGAAGAGCCTTGCCCTCACAGACAGAACCACGGCGTTCTGCAGAGCACGGGGCGCCGCAGGTTCAAACTGAGGTTAAATATGGTACAAATATTGTGACAGGAGAGAGTGAAAGAACAAGTGATGAGCACCTGCACATGTAGGAGTGTACGCATGCACACGTGCACACACACACACACGTGCACACGCACACACACACACACACACACACACACACACACACACACACACACACACACACACACACAGTGGCGGCAACAGCTGTGAGGACAGTGGACTTTGAGAGAGAGGAATGAGAGGTATGTGGTCTGGAAATGTGCAGCGGAGACCAGCGGCAGCTTTGAAGATGTCCTGAGGCATTTTCACAGAAATAAAAGAAGGTGGTGGTGGTGATGAAGATGATGATGAAGATGATGATGAAGATGATGACGACATTCGACAACAGTTTGTTGAAATACTACTGCTCTCTTTTCATCTTCCTCACATATATACGTTCTCTCAGCTTGAGCCAATATTCAATAATATCAAGTATCGTGGAATTTCCTGTTGTATGTGATATTTTTCATATCAAAAAAAAAAAAGAAAAGAAGAGAAGCTTGTTGCTTACTCTACATTGAACCTTGGCATGTGACAAATAAAACTGCTGCTAAACTGCAGTTTCATGGCAGCATCGCTTATTCCTGAGACATAAAATACAGTGGGGGTGTTTATTCCTATTTGTGCTGGACTGTATCGAGATGTTAAATTTTGGATATTGCCTCATAATAAATTAAACTTTCACTTCTCCAGGCTACGAACTAAACATGGTGGCACCCATGTCGGCGATTGGCCTGAAGCCACATGACCACGGGGCCAATCCATCTTTGAAGAAGCCCCATAGGCTGATATGTATGTGTATTTTTTCTTATTTAAACGTTACTTGTGATGTGATTATGTTTTTTCTGATGACTCTGATGAAGGCCACAAGCTGAGACCTTTCAGTCTAATAAAGTTTACTGCAACTGTCGCTGGAGTTTTAATGTCTTCAGACTTTTTCCTTTCTCAGTGCTCCTTGGAAGTCGGTGAAGTTGTGCCAGAACCCTTTACTTTGCTTCTGCACTTATAACACTGCCATAATGCACTTCACAGAAAGGAGAAAAGATGATTTTTTTTTTCTCTTTTGCTCATTCCTCAGCTGAGCTCTGACAGTTTGCACAGCTTCTGGCTGTGAGCACAGCTGCTCCCCGCTGGTCGAAGCTGTGGCTGTGGATATGGCTATTCGCTTGGACTGTGGCTTTATTTGTGGTTGAATGAATAGCACTATGGACATGGCGACGGTAGCTGAAGTGTGACTGTTGATATTAGCCAAGAAAGCATTGTTAAGCAACACGGAATCTGAACCCACAGTGATTCAGATATGACATATGTCTTACTAACACACCACAGGAGCTTCACTACGACTCACACTCACACTCGCGAGCCCTGCATGAACTCGGTGTTAACATGTTCGATATGGAGGGGGCTCGCTACAGATGCACTTGCATCACTGATCTCACAGCAGGATGAGCTGATGACGTGCCCGATGCGTATTCTAAATATTTGGCTGCAGTGTGACGAACATAAACAAGTTGTTTCTGTAAATAAAAACTTCTGGAACTTTGTGATGTCACAACAAAACAGTCACCAAGACCCGGCCACCTGGACCCACCATTCAAACCTTGCAGGATTTGGTTTCTCTGAGTGTTTTACCTGAAGTCTGCCATATTTTTTATTGGATCACTCAGAAAACAGTCAGCCAATTAGAAGAGAGGCTCAGAGCCTCCTCTCTTCTGATTGGCTCACCGACCTGTTGTTACTAGAGCTCCAGAGAGAAGCCTGAGAGAGGAGATGTAAAACTGCCCTGAGATGGTTTTTGGTTCTTAAAACCACAAATATATCTTCTTATGGATCAACACTTCAAATAAAACACAGAAGAAGTGTTTATTGGGAGCTGGAGTCCATCCCAGCATTGAGCATGAGGCTGGCACAATGCACACCTACAGATAATTTAGAGTTATCTGCATGTCTGTGGACTGTGGGAGGAAGCCCACGTGAACATGGACAGATCTCGTGAACTACTCACTGAAAACGATTCAGTCAATACAGGAAGTGGAAGTTCTCCTAAGTAATTTAAGAGCTGATAATCAGCTGCATAAACTCCCTACAAATTCATCCCGACACTGAGCTGTTTGTGCTTGGAAAGCGTTTAACCATCAGTCCTAAAGTAATAAACTTCCTGTGTCAAATTCTCCTACAAAAACTTTACTGGCTAATAAATAAAAAAGAGAGAATTTTAAGCATGCAGAATATCAAGTGATGTGTCCAAGTAAGAAAAGGAGTGGCCAGTCTGTGTGGAGGCCAGGGGAAGAGCAGATCCCTGATGCTTTTTTTTTTTTTTTTTTTTCTGCAACGTGGCAAACTCAGGAAGAGGCAAGGGAGAAGGAAGAGTGAGAGTGGTGAGAGAGAGAGAGAGAGAGAGAGAGAGAGGGGAGAATATTTTAGAGAGTAGATCATCCTGTCTTCACACATAATGCATCCCCTGTGTTACTGCTGGCAGGAAGACAATCCAGATGAGGGGAGCGCTCCAGCGGGGCTGCCCCTTTCTGTCAGTGCACACCTTTAACATGAGCCTGCAGGATCAGATGCCTGGGCTAATGAGGGAGAGGGAGGGGGAGGGGGGGCCCACAAAGGTAACTGGACTGTTGATTGGCCAGGATCTGAGCCAATGAAACACTGACAGATGATACAGATTTTGATTTAACATCTGATCTGAGCTCTGATTCCCTACGACATCTTGAAATAATACAAAGGATATTAAAGATAAAAAAGCACTACTCCATCAAAGGGTCAGCCCCCCCCCCCCAAAAAAAAACACATTATATTACTTACCTTAAGTGTTATCTAGCCATGCACATAGTTTTACAGATTTTATTTGCCCAGATTTTAGGATATGATGCTGCACATGGACATACAGATTGTATATTTGATTTTCTCTGGGAGTGAGAAGTGTAACATTCGGCTGACCCAACAGTGTAACCTGATCCCTCAACTCTATCACTCAGTCAGTCAGTCAGTCAGTCACAGACATTTGTGTTCATAGGGCTGGCCCTGCTGTTGCTGTGCACCCAAAAATAACAACAACAAACACAAACAAACCAAAAAATGGACAAACAAAAAATAATCTTCAGGGAACCAGATTGGGTTGGGATTTTTAACAAAGTTAGATAATAAGTGTAAAGACTCCAAACTGGCTGGTATCTCTCAAAGTTACATAAAAACGACTCATGAGTGAATCATCCACGTGTCACACTGGTCCAACGTCCAATCTTAATGACAACTTGCATCCTGTTTCCGCTCCGGTTTTATTGTGAAAGTCCGGACTGGAAGTTGCGATTCATATACATGGCGTCACACTTTTTTGCAGTGGACAGTTTGAACAGTGCCGTTATTTATTATTGAGGTCATGTATGTGAGTATAGTGCACATCATATTCCAAAGCGAGATCGTCCACAATATAAGATCATCAGATCATCATTTCAGTTATTTTAAGGGCAAATTATCAAGACAGCAATATGCGCCTATATAGGCAGGTTCACCGTGTGCAAACACAAACAAAAATGTGCTTCAAATGTTTGGATAAGTCAGGTGGGACATGGAAACGCTCAGAAGGTCAGAGCATCCTTTGTGGCATATTGTGTGTTGCGTAACATTGCCATGCGTCGTGGAGGAACATAAACACACCTTCTTTCTTACCACCTGGTAAATCCACCACATCGTCAGGACTAAATTCATCCACCACGGTTTCATAATGAACCAAAAATGTATTTACGCTTCTCGTAGTAGAACGTAAAAGATGTCTGATGTTGTGATTTGTGTTGATGCTTAAATAAAATAGAGTCCTAACTGTTCAAGTCAAAACCTCAGGCTTATAAAAACACTTTTTTTTCATTTCTGTTTGCTGACACTCACAGATATCTGATTTATAATTGACAGAAAATAAATCAGGAACAACTTTGATTATATATTAATAGTTTAAGTCAATGGTTCCTGCTCCTCAAATGTTTTCCGCACTATGAACACAATAAAGATGTCTGCCTGGAAAATAGTGATGGCCATAAAATACTCACCCAGGGTCCTGAAGGGCCTCTGTTGGGGCACCAATGAGAAGAAACCAGGTTTCAGGGCGTTTGTGATGATGACGTCAAACAGCTCCTCGAAATCCTTCCTGCAACAGCCAGAGAAACAACGTTAACCTCTGCGACAGGACAATGCCTGGACAGCATCCAAGTACACTGACTAACACAAGCACAAATAGCTCAGAGAAGCTAAACAGTGTGTACAGATGATGGAAAGCATGGTGCAATAAACAGTGTACACATACAGCACTGCGGAGGGAATACTTAGTCTGAAAAAAGTAAACACTCTGAGAGGTTAATATACTGTGTACACTCCCAATGGGCTGCAGTTATGAGAACAAGTGAGACGAGAGCAGGAAGTATCCAAGAAGCCCTATGGTATAGAATATGTTTAAGTACAGTACATATATAAGAGGGACCTCTGCATAATCTTCCATATAAAGTGAGAGGCGAACAGAAGCCTGATCAAACAGGAAGGACGTCTTACTGGGAAGCATGTAAACTACTCAGTTTGATGTATGAACATGTGCTTGCACTCTCAGCAGTTATGATATAGACTGATGCAACAGTTTATTCACGACTGTTTAAAAGCTCATGTAAGAGATCTCACACTAAGTAAACAACAGGAAACAAGGGGAGGCAGAGAGAGGGGACGCGATGCAACAACTTTCCCACCGGCCTCCAACCTCAGGGTCGACGCTTTTATACGGCCAGTGCCTTAAACCCCCCTAAACAACCAGGGACCTCCATTCCCCCTTCACTGCATCACAACAGGAAGCAGAACAACTCGCTGCATGGGTGCTGTGCTTCTGTCAAATGACTGAAAGCCTGAAGACAACACAGTGTCCAGCAGCATCAGGAGAGTCTCCGGGGATCCACAGGAAGAGGCGTCAGGGCGGCCACTGACCTCCAGCAGCAGCTGACAACTGACAACTTCAGTAGACAAGAGACGTTTCACCTCGACGGAGGACGTGAACCGCACAGTGTTTATGTAAAAGGCTTCATATTCAGACCACTTCTACTTTATGCACGCTTTATTGTGTTGTAGATCTTATTTTAAATTGATTAAAGTACTATTCTTCCCCATCAATCTACACTCATGTCAGGTGCATCCTGTTTGCCTTCTTGCCGGAATATTTAGAAAGGCAGACGTCTGTGTATATAAGGTCCCACAATGCAATGCTTCAAACCTCCAGAAGCTAGTAAACAGACCTTAAATTACGATTATTTTGGCCAAAATTTTTTTGTATTAACAATATATCAGATCACTTATTATCACCAACCCTGCATTTGACTGTGGAGCATTTTTTAGCCTCGTTTATTTCGGTGTTTCAGTTTTCTTCTGATCAGGCGCTCACGAATCCAGTAGCTGTCCCGGGACCAAGCGACACAGACAGAGACTAGCTGATGAACTTTTGTGGAACATTTAGCAGCTAAAGAGCAGCTGAATGCTCTTTTTCTCAGGAGAGGACACACAGACAACACGGCGTGCATTTGTCAGGTGTCTGCTATGATATGTAAACAGGCAATTGTTTACAACTTCAAAAACTCATATGCCGGATGCTGTATCTACAGGTTGTTCTGTGTCCCATAAGATGCAAAAAAAACAACAAAACAATTAATGCAGTTTTAAAATATTTGAAAATCAGGCAGTGGGTGTCTCACCTAGAAATAACTTACCGTACCACCGCTTTACCACCTACTAACTAAAGCTAAAAGCTAAGTAGTTTTCTAATTTTAAGATAGCTCGTTACAGAAAAAGTGACTAAGTGGACTAGGAGTTAAGATTATCCATCAAGAAGCTCCGTAGCTGTCCAGAGCCGAGACACAGACTGACAAATTTAGAAATAAGTGGAGCATCAGCTAAAGAGTCAAACATTAGAGAGAGAGAGAGCGGAGGAGAGTGAATATTGTGTAAACAGGCAACTCTTTGCAAGCAACAAGCTAGCCATAACAACTTAATAAGGTGATAAACGTTGGTAAATGGTGATAAATGGTATTAGATGTTTGTATTTGCAGCTTGTTGTTTGGCCAAAAACTTGTGAAATAAGGTTTTAGTTTGAAGGTGTAACGTGAGTGATGATATCCACCTAGGCGCTCAGTGGAAGCAAGCAGAACCTATGTATGGGAAACTGATTACAGCTGGCACTGTCTCTGCGACTGTCAGAGAAAAAGACATTGATGAGCTCAGAGGCTTTCCGACCGCTCGGAACTGGTTCTCGACTCCCATTCCTGATTTTCACATGTAAAACTGTGTTTGGAGATATCTTGAATCACGCAGTCGAAGCTCCTCCGGCTCTGTCTGGTCCACAACGAACAAACCGAGAAACCGCACGCCATTCCAGCTGTGAATGCCTTGATCTGGTCGGGGGCCAGTGTGTTGGGTGGTGGTCAGCGCTCTCCTGTCAGACAGCTCCGGCCTTGTTGTGCTACTTCTCACAGATGACCGTCACTGGCCCGCAGCCAGGCTGTGGGCGAGCGAGGGTTTTTCTCTGGAAGAGTGTGGGGAAACAAGAGTGGCTGTCTTTCACAATAAAAGTGCTTTCTCAACAGTGACACGACACACAGAGAAAGAGAGAGAGAGAGAGAGAAGATGTTGCACCGTGTTGTACTGAAGAAGAAGTGGATACACTCTGAGTGGAGATAAAACAGGAAGGACATCTCCCCAACCCACGTCTGGCAAGATAAAGCTGAAGTGAATTTCCTCCATCACAATCTGCATCCTCTGACCTTGTGAAGCACTGATTTGGATATGATTTTGAGCGCGCATGCACGCACACACGCACACACACACACACACACAATCATTCATACACAGCTGGGGCTCTAGCTGCTCTCCTTGGGAGATGATGCACGCTGCGGCGTTGGAGGTCATGGACACAAGAAGGGAGGGGGGCAGCCAGTTAAACAGCAGGAGAGCAAGGGAAAATGTTGAGGAACAACAGGAATGACCAGGCTGCTCTCTGCTTAACAGGAAACCAAGAGGGGTGGGGTGGATGCAGAGGCCACGTGAAGCTGGCAACCAGAGTGAGACGGCCTTAACTCGACCTGCATTTTGGAGAACAGTCGAAGAGCTCAAAAGGCAGACCACCTCGCCGTGCGACTGCAGAGTAAGATAACAACACCTCACACAAGAACCACGGAGGCTTTTGTTTGTTCAGTCCCAGCAGCCGCACGGACATCTCGTTTTTTCAAGGCCTTCTTGCTGCTCGATCGAGTGTGTAACGAGACTTAGGCAACAAAAATAAGCCTCCACCACAGAGTTCACTGTGAACAGAGGGAGGCCATGAACACACAAAGCCTGCCTTAAACTACAAAAAGCCCATTAAGAGAATAATCCCTTGCGCTGCACACCTACCGCTATAAAATGAAGTGCTGAGTGATAACAAACAGCTGACTGAGAGCAGGTGGACTCGTGTATTTAATCGGCAGACCCGCTGGTTGTTGCTTCTCCTCCCTCCTGACATTTAAACCTGCATCCGTTGCTTTTCGAGAAACATGTTGGTAGCAGAACACGCTGCAAACATATACAACATGACATATTCTCACCTCATTAAGTTGCTATGGTTAGCTTGTTGTTAGCAAACCCATGAGTTTAGTTTTCTGCAGCCGCCTGACAAATTCAAGTTCAATATTCACTCTCCCGCTTCAAGAACATTTGTCTCTTTAGCTGCTAAGTGCTCCATTATATTTACTAGCTAGTCTCTACATCTGTCTCTTGGTTGTATGTGTATATGTGTATAGCATATGTGTGATGATGATGGTGAATCCAGGCGGGCGTGTGAGCCACCGAGGACTGGAGGAATGACTGATGGCATGCGAGAGCTGTGAGGAATGTTGTGAGTGGAGGGAGAAGCAGAAAGTGGCAGCTCGGGCTGAGCGGACCTTCAGGTAATAAATCCTGTGGGGGGCCGTTAAGGCAAGGTAAGCACTGCAGACTGGGGCCTGGTCTTATAAAGGGAGGGGGGGGGGGGCAGTCTGTGGTCCCAGTGTGGGCAGTCTTACCCCAGGATGTGTTCACAGATGAGCCTGCAGTAGTCGCTGTGAGAGCTGGTGATGAGGAGCAGGACCTTCCCGGCGTTCTTCATGCTGTGCAGCCAGGTCTTGACGGAGTCGGAGCAGGGCTGCAGGTACCGGCCCGGGTCCCTCTTCACGCTGGGGAAGTAGGTCCCCGCATCCTCTGCACAGAGACACGTGAACACAGTCACACAACCAGGAACTATCATCCTCCGACATGTACATATACTTAAGATCATATGCTTTGGCCTTCACAGTAACAAACCCCCAACCGGCTAAACGAGCTTTCCCCAATGCATGTGTTCATGAACTGTCCCCTTAACAAAACACGTTTTATGTTTTTGTTGTGTTCTGCTTAATTCTGCACATTTGTATTCACAGCGGCAGAGGGGACCCCTCGGGTGTCGTGTTCCCCACTTCTGAGGGGACCATCAATGGGCTCTCCTGACTTTGAAGCCCTCCAGCTGCCCTTCACCGCATCCTGTCAGCGCACCGCGCAGAGCTAAATATGGCAGCGCTCTGATGGCTCGGCGCTGTTACACAATCCCAGTCCGTTAACAGAATGCAACTATTGACCTTTTGTTCTCAGCTGAATGTAAATAACTCTTGAATAAAACATAACCTATAAGGGAATAGAAACATAGGCGGTTCATGCTGATTGGCAGTGTATAATGGTACATCCATATGTGAATCCTAGGTCACAGAAATGTGGAAATTCTCTCGGTACTGAGAGGAAATGTGACAAAAATAATATCTTGAAGTCTTTTTCTACCCCTTACACAGAAAAGCACTTCCTTACATCTAAATGGCACGATCTAATGATGTAAACCGCAGGATAAAAAAAAAAAAATGTGGATTCAACCCTGAGACATGTGCAACCTTATCAAAACAGAAAAAAAACGAGGCGACCTGACACATGGTATTTGCTCCCGAGCTGAATGAGGCAACCAATCAAGTGAGAAGTGGCGAGAGAAAAGAGGGCTTAGAAAAACAGGTCAGGGTGCGGATGAGTGGTGTGTATTCATGAGCTTAGGTGTTTATTCTGGCGGAGAGCGCCGGCCTCACAGGAGCATCACTGGGCCCTTGACTTTCCTCGGACCGTGGCCCAAACTGTCCCCTCCCTTTTCTTTGCCTCATACACGACACAGTTCTGATTTTGCCGACCCATCGAAGCTGCGGTGTTCATATTATCCCACATTAGGAAAGTTTAAACCAAAAATTACAACACACTTGTACTTTTGCTACCGATCCGTGAATCAGTACCAAAGCACCGAACTCTGGGAAGTTCTCGCGGTCGAATATCTTCCATCTTTTGTCACGACCGAAGCAGAGGTAAACAGTAGAAACACAACTCTGATGTCACAAAACAATTTACCAGGAACGTGCTCTTGAACACATCATGCCAGATAACGTCACATTGCATCCTATCACTTTGCACTGACAGCCTGGTCATCTTTGTGTTGTACAAAACTCCCATGTTTTTTTGCCGGAGCACTTTGTTTCGGCACCGTCTCTGCAGCGATGGACTGGGTCTATGGTCTGTTTGACGTGGCCTTACGCCCCACTGCAATAAGGCAAAACATCAGAGCCTGCTGTCCGTGAACTAATACAATGTACATGTGTGTATATATATATATATATATATATATATATATGTATATATATATATACACACACAGTATATATGTCATTCCATGTTGGAGATATCGGTTAGTATTCTAGTCTAAGCAACATGCCCAAGTCAAAGGAATGAGAGGTCTTCCCATTCAGTTGACATGGCATGAATCCACAACGTTAAAATTATATAATAAATATATAATAAAATTATATAATAATTAATATCATAATTAAATCTTATTTCTTTCACCGCAGTCATCATGACCGCAGCTCGGCAGAGGGTTCGTCAAGCTTCAAGTGAGTCACAATGTGAAGGGAAAGCTGATCTGAAAATGTATTCAAAATCAGCCGAGGACTTCTTCGCCTTTCAAAGCCTGTCGAGACGGTTCAAAACATATTTCTCTTTAATCTTTTAAATCCTCTTAAACAAACAGTGTTTCTCCTAGTTGCCACCTTGATAAACATTTGTAGAAATTAAATTAAACGACTGGAACCCAACGTCATTTGGAACAAAATGTCTGTACCAACGGTCCATTAGTGGGATTGGATCTTATGGCACGTCTGTTTTAAGCTCTCGGCCTTTCTTAGTGGGCTCTTGATCCTGATGGAAATGAGCAGGCCTGGAGTGTCCTGTAGCCAGAGAGACACAGTTGTGTCTGTGATCAGAGGGGTTGGGGATTGTGTTTTTGAACACAATGCTCTTACCTCCTTTGACAAAAAAAAGACTCTTGTCTTCTTCTAAACAGCCACATAACAGCTTGTGCATGAGCCTGAAGTGTGGACGGCAGATTCAAGCAGCTCATGAAAATCCTGCAGCATGAGTTTGAAAAGTGAGGACATGCTGCCCCCCGGTGGGGGAACACGGGACTAGCTTGAGGAAGGAGAAAGCTCTTGTAGGTTCTCAGGAGGCAGTGGAGGGTTCTAACCAGAAGATGACGACAAACACAAACAACTGAGACTTTGATCCCAATCAAGAGACCGAAATTCATACATTTGAAATTGTCCCAGATGTAAACATCGGGGCCTGACTTGAAACTAATTTCTTCTGAAGTTTTAATTGTGTCCACAGACCATTTCACCTTCAGTTAAACAGAAGGATCGGGTCATGTTGACCAATGTTTGGCCCTCAGTTTGAGGGGTAGTTCCTCCTCTGGGACCCCGGCAGCATAAAGCCTATCCTGCCTCATTACCCACAGCCAGGGAGGTCATCTGAGGGAGGTTAAAAGAGTTCCCCCCCGCCAGCAAAATCCCATGTCGCAGTTCTGTGTGCGAGAGGAAAAACAACTGACCTCGCCGTCATCCCTTGTGTTCTAACGATCAAATACCGTCTCCTGTCCAAAACAACAGGAGTTGTTCTATTCCACCAGGACCTGAAATTTACCACCCAAGCACACACCTGACACCAAGGCCAGGGAATGGCTCTATTCATGTTGTAATGCATTAAAATCACTGTCAAGGAAAGCATGAAGAATGAAGGAATCAGTGGTCCCACCAAACTGCAAAGGCTGTGACATTTCGATGCAGGTGTTGCCGTTTCCTGTTTGTGATAAGTGACGAAAAAACATCTTCAAAAATCAATCTCCCTTCATCTGGATTTCTACTTTATAATACTACTTTTGTGTCTTGGTGATCATCAAACTAAATACAAAGTTTTTTCAAGTTAATGTTTAAATAAAAGTCCATTTTCTTTTATTTATTTTGGGGAGCACATGCTTTTATTTTGAGTAGTTGACAGCCAAAACTGAGATGAAACATCAGGAGACAACAAAAGTCTTTGGCCTGGCTTGTAGTGAAGGTTGCAGCTAGATGAGATACAGTAGTGGGAACATATTTTGGCATGACACATACTTGGTCTGAACAATTTTGGCAACTTTCCAAAACCGACAATCTCAGACAAGCTCTTTTTTTTTTTTCTTGCTAACATCACTCTTCATGTGAGGTGCACCATGAATACCTTTGAGGTAAGACTTTGTGCTGTTACCCTCATTGGTACGAGAGTAGGTGAGTATTGCAATTGCAGGGTATTTCATGAATATTCCAGCTTAAATAAAAATCATGTCTGGCAGGGTGATTGAACAAACTGCACACTTAAGTTCTTTTGAAGCATGACTGTAAAAGGCAAACAGCTACAATAACATGTAATTTGCTGCTGCCAGGCTGGAAAAACTTCAACAGAACTGTAGTGTTGTCAGAGCTAACAAATTTACCATTGTTAAAGGGGCTATTTTGTAAGTTTTCTCTGCCGCACAACATGTTCTCTTGCTTGGCGCAAGAGCCGATCGCCAAGAGCTTTGGCGATCGTTGGGTTTAAAAGACGAGAGGTTATAACACGTCCTCTGAGCAGCGCTACTTCTTCAGGTCAGACTGGAGGTGACAGTGAGCCACTATATGGAAAGTCACTAAGACAGACCGGGGCTAGCTGGTTAGCATGCTAACTTCAGCAGAAGAAAAGACGTGATAGAGACAAGAGTTAACATTGCTGTTTGTTTCCACCTCTGGAGACAGCTGCTGGTGAAGAAATGAATGAAGTTTGATGTTGAACTCGCATGTAGTTATGTAGCAAAACTTACAAATAGCTCCTTTATATTTCATTAAAAATGAAAATTGCTCAAATTAGTAATAGTAGTTATTTTGGAATATGGGAAGAAAACCACAGTAACAGGTGTCACTTTTTCACAAAGATTTGATGTGAGATTGAACTAGAGTAACAGGATCTAGTGAGACAGCAGCTAGACAGAAAGTGATGTCAGGGTCTGTCTTTGGTTTTCTATGTGCCTGAATTCAGATTCTCTTGAACCAGTTACTACTTGCATGGCAGCATGTAGTGAACCCTGATCTGATATTGCTAGATATCAGTAGCTCTGCCTCTTCTATGATTTATTTTTTCCTGCATAATTGCCCAACATCTATGAGAAATGCTTGCTTGTGCCATCGACCAGACATTAACCGTGTTTGACTTCTTATAAACAGCTTCAGTTTGTTAGGTTTGGGTGAGTCCAGCCCTGACAAGGCCTCAGTGACACCTCCCAAAGACGACTTCCTATTTGTATAAATGCTGCCCCATCATCTGTTATCTCTTTAGCCCCCTGTGTGGCATTGGGCTGCAAGTAGAGAGTCCAGATTGATACTGTGGTGCAATTTGGGACAGAGCAACATGTGATCAATCCACAAGTACCAAAGAGAAAAGCATATTTAAAACGCTGCCTGGGCCGTCACCAGTGCCAGTTTACTACAGCGTGTGTGCGCGCGGTGGAGTGAAACGTGCCTCTGCAGGATCTGGCTGTGAATGTAGGACTCAAGTGCCCCGAGGCCCCGCAGGCCTGTGGCTGGGCACCATGCCGCACAGTTCTGGGCGCCGGGCCTGGACGGCTGGAGAGCTGCCCAGCGTCAGAGAGGGAACCGCGACCAGCAGCAGCTCAATCTCTCTCACACATCAAAGCGTCCTGACAGGATACACAAATCAACAGTTGCAGTGCAAATTAGGGCTGAGCACGGGAGTGTTTCACAAACAGCCACACCAAAAATGATGAGAGGGCAGAATCCAGA